TTTTTTTATGAATTAGTTGTCACAAAAATAAGTACTAAGTATATAGTTTTTCGAAAAGTATGATTTTTTTTAACGTAACTTACATGTTAAAGAAAGGGACAAAATATCTAGCAAGCTTTGAATTGTTCAATAAATACACACGGTCTAGTTCTAAATCCTGAAGCTGATGAGCGTTGACAAGCGCCAGACCAATTTTGGTGTTATTCACCCTGGACAGTGTCGTTTAAGTTTATCGCCCTTTGTTTTGTAGACATTTCACATCTTCGTCATCATTCGGACGTCATAATTTATCTTATCGTTTGTACTTTACATATAAATCTGCTTACGCAATTAATAAGACTGGTGTTCGCCCAATTGACGGACCATAATCATTATTGGAAATTTGAGGAAAACATATGAATAGAATATACCTATTTAAAAAATGATAACTGTTTCCGAAATTGTATGATTGACTAGCATTGCCCGCGGTTCCGCACGCGTTCAGATGACTAAAAAGCAAATTATTAATTAGGTTTTACATATTAGTATACTCTTACAATGCATTTTTTGTATTTTTTCTCAGAAATGAGATATTTTCCCGCGATAAAAAGTATTCTATATGTTGACCCGGATAACCAGCTATCACCATACCAAATTTCATCAAAATCCCTCCAGTGGTTTTTCTGTGATGCGGTAAGAGACAGATAGAAAAAAATTCTAAAAACTATAGATTCGGTCTCTGTAATGATAATAATGTCTAGCCGCGGGCAATGCCAGTATGTATATATAATTGGAATGTGGTGCCTAATGATATACTTTTAACAGGTCCGATATAAATATGTATGTAAGTCGTTGATCGGTATGCAATTTAATTGTTTTGTTCATTGGCGTTGTTCCTAAGTATTTCTCTTTTTCATTTTTTATGGATGAATGTAATGGAGCTCTATGGAAAATTATATTCCCGAACTTCAAATTTATCGCTTATTAGTGTTTTGCCGCGACTCCGCACCGATCCCAGAATCTATGCCCTTGACATATTTCGAAATGTGTTCAGCGTTTTAAGCGTATTTTACAATAAGTTAGTTTAAAACATACTTTTTTTAAAGATTTAATTGAAAAAAAATTTTATAATTTAAAATAATCATATTAATTAATAATTAGTATATTCGCGCTTGGCCGGCTATCTATCAAGCGTGTGTATGAATAAGTTAGTAATGTTCTTATCAATGTATATTTATTTCCTAACGCGGAACAATGAATTAACAGTTTTTTATTCATAACATAACATATTAATATGAATGAAATTTACGATAAACTTGCTTATATGCTTATGCGGTATTTAGAATATTTTGACCCCGATCCCTCCTCCTCTCTCCTTACCCCTCCCTCCCCCTCCCTCCTTTCCCCTCCCTCCTTTCCCCTCCCTCCTTCCCCCTCCCTCCTCCCCCTCCCATCCCTCCTTATTCCTCCCTCCTCCCCCTTTCCTTACGAATTATTACTAATATTTTGCAAATAAAATGGCTTAATACAATTTCATTAAAATTATTAATGATAATATCCATTGATTGGAATATTTATTTCATTCTGACCAATGATATTTCGTATCGCCTTTACCGTATAAAGTTTATTATTATGAGACTTGTTTGTATTTCCATGCCGTATTATTTAACGACCCTCTAATTTAGCTGTAACGACAGCAAATACGTTGATGTTGTAATTAATGATAATCAAGAAAGGTCGCAATGGAGATCGGATTGCACAAGGAATTCCCGTCATTTTCAGTTTTATCGCAGTCCTTTTTAGTCAGTAATATAGTGTTACTTTTAATATGTCTGTCCTTTTCATACAGTGTCGATTTTATTTTTTTCTACGATTTAAAGGAAAGCATTATAATTTTATAACTTTATTAATTAAATTCATTAATAACTTTATTTCAAAGATAACTAACGCCTGAGAGATTTTTCCGCTTGTGTACTTCGGAAGATTAAAGGAAAAAAAAACATAATTCTATCGCTAGTACGAAACTTATGATTAGTATATAAAAGATATATATAATATTAATAGCGATTTATCTTCGCTTTGCTCAGTGGCCTGGGGTGCCTCACACCTTCCTAAGTGTTTACTTCTAATCAGTGGCGTAGCTATGCTAATGTTATCAATGTGGTCGCATGGGGCCCCCGATTTAAGGGGGCCTCAGTCTGCTAGTCAGGGCTGCAGTCGATTATTTTATTTCAGAACATTTTTTGAGGACGGCCCTCATTGAAGTTTAAAAAACCGCTAGAAAAGTGTCCTCCGCATGTTATTTTTTATTAGGACCACGAGGAATGTAATGGTACCTATCTATACTTCTATACTAATATTATAAAGAGGTAATGTTTGTGAGTTTGTGACGTTGTAGGGGGTAATCTCTGGATCTACTGAACCCATTTAGATAAAATTTGGTAAGAAGATAGTTTGAGACTCTGGAAAGGACATAGGATACTTTTTATCCCGGAAATCATTCATGCCTTAAGTGGGTGAAAATGAGGATAAAAATAAGTATTGGGAAGCAAGCTATGGACGAAGTCGCTAGCTAGTGTTCTATAAAACGATAAATCGTCCTTTAAGCTCAGCTATTTTACTAAATTTTACTCTACCCGTTCTTTCGTGAGAGCGCGGCGGTTTGAAAAGAGTGAGAAGTTCGAAAACTGCCTCTGCCTGTGGACCACGTTTGTTTTCAAAATAGGCAAAGGTGGGCAAGTCAATTTTTTTAGTGGGGCCCAAAAAGGCTCTACCACTGCTTCTAATCATAATCTATCAGTATATAATTTCATCTAAATCAGTTCAGCGATTTCAACATGAGGTAAAAAATTTAACATACATACATATACATACAAACTTTCGCATTTACATAATACCTAGTTGTCCGATTAGGATCTACTCTTGGTACATTTCTAGGTAATATGAAACGTCATACATTCATGATATTAAACGTGGTTCTATAGCTGAAAATTTAGTTAAATCCCAATCGATTTAGGCCTGTCTTGGTCTGCGATGAAACGCACATTTAGCTACCATCGTATTCAAAAAAATTTCAACTTAAAATTCAACTTAACTTTCAATTCCAAATAAAATTAGATGTTGGAATCGATTTGTCAAGATCACTAAATTATGATTTATGATCAATTGGATTTCTACGTAGTTGTTTAAAATAAATTAATATATTTTATAAATAAATAGATAATTAATATTTTAAATAACCCTTCATTCCATTAAATGTTATTTATAATTGTGATTACGAAATAAATTATTTAACAAAAATGAATTTATTTATCGACGTTTTTATTTCATAAACGTGACTATCGCATTGTGCCATAGACCAATAGAGTTCAACGGGTCAAAGGCTTATAATTTTGAATTTATTATTTAAACAATTGGAAAACTGACAGCATCAAGACTCGATACTTACCTCTTTTTACAACTCGTCGGTTTTGGCTTAGGTATATGGCTGCAAATTGTAAAAGTTCCGAGTTCGAGTCCCGGATCGAGGCGGAATTTTAACTGGGTTTTTCTATTTATAAATTTTTTAGTAGCCCAGATGTGTGTTTTAGCGCTTCTGTACTAGAATATTTCGCGAGTAAATGACTAGTCTCGGTAAGTTTGATCGAAAATAGATCTTTCGTGACCGTGATTTTCTTATTTACTCCTCCACTTATTTATAATATGTGTATGCCCTTTTTAACTGATGCTGATCTCCCTTCAATATGAGGGGGATCAGGCCATAGTCCACCACGCAGGCCAAGTGCACGCTGACGCGGACGATGTTTTCCTTCTCCGTAAGACAAGTGGTAATCATGTTGGAAATGATTCGCACATGAAAATATCAGAGGTGCGAGACTCGGGATTTGAACCTGCTTCACTCTGTTTCCCAAGCGAGCGCGTTAACACTGAACTATCACTGCCTCATATTCATATATACATACTTATAACACGGACATCTCTCATTTCTGAAACAAATTACGTCTATATCCATCTTTTTCAATCGATCCACACAGGACTTCACAAAGTCAATAAATTTTAGTTTCTAATGGCCGCCATGTAACTTACGTCAACCTTATCGTACACATATCAAATGTATTATTGCTTATTAAAATGAAAATCGATAGCTGTCGTTTTTATATTGTAAACTAGCATTGCCCGCGGCTCCGCCCGCGTTCAGATGACCAAAAACTAAATTCTTAGGTGTTACATATTAGTATACTCTTACATTGCAGTTTTTGTATTTTTCCTCAGAAATAAGATATTTTCCCGCGGTAAAAAGTATCCTAGGATCGCGCGCTACATCGCCCGGTTTATATAGCTTGAGCAGGCGGTCGAGCGATGCGGGGCAGAGGGGATGGACTCGCCGTAGGCATCTCAATGCTCGCCAAGCATTAAAAATGTTTCGCTACTAATTACTTCTAACAACGATATCTCAAAAACTATTCATCTGATTGATTTAGTGTAAAGAGCAATTTTAATCTGCATTAAATGACTAAGCTAACTAAAATATTCATTTGGATAAGGATTAATACCGAACTAAAGAAAATAACTTTGAAAATAACGTAATGTTTTTAATTAAAAATGTTAACATAAAAGTGGTTATTGTAAGTCAACCGTAAGAGATAGAGATATGCTATCGCGGACTTTTTTGTAGCATTTTTATAGATTTTGAATTCTCTAGTACATTACTTAACTGTATCTTTGCTAGTTTACGCGGCGTTCGCGTGGAAAGTTCCCATTTGGCGAGATTTTTTGCGACCTCTTCAACATTTGTCGCCGTATTTCAGCTAATTTACATAAAAGCATAATAAATTATATACCTAAACCTTCCTCAAGAATTACTCTTTCTATTGTTGAAAACCGTATAAAAATCCGTTCAGTAGTTTTCGAGTTTATCGCGTACAGACAGACAGGAGGACAGACAGGAGGACAGAAAGACGCGGCCGGGGGACTTATTTTTATAATAAGTATAGATAATTTGTTTGTATTTTGTTCATCAGGTGGTATTAGAAGTCGCGCATAGAGTGGACCAAGAGGGAGTTGTGGCTGTTGACTCAGTGGTTGAGAAGTTGATTTTCAAGCCGCAGGATGTAGTGTCCATCCGGGCGAAGGACTCGGATCTGGAGTACGCGACCCACGACGTGTTTCAGACTGATAGCGCTATATCTAATAAGTTTAATGGTAAGTCTGTTTGAATGTTTATTAATGAACAATTGATACATTAATTAATCATTATTGAAAACAAATTCCATGCGTTAAGAAATTGAAAAGAGTTTTGAAGGTGTCTTTTATAATAGGAATAATTTATCGACCTCGAACTCAGCCTATAAGTGGCATAGCTTAGATAGTTTAGGTTAAAAACTAGAAAATCGGTCAAGCCGTCTTTGAAAAATGGGCGAAATGATATATAAAAAATACATACACGAACATAAAATCTAAAGGAAACGAACATAAAATCTAAATCTAATGAAAGGAAGAGGGTATGTATTACGTTGTATAGTAATTGAAAATGACCAATCAGTTATTTTTTTTACTTTTTTTTATAAAGTTGTATAAAAAGTGTATGCAAATACTATTAATACTAAGCATTGCCCGCGACTCCACCGCGTTCAGATGACCAAAAACCAAAAGCTTAGGTCTTACATATTAGTTTACTCTTACATTGCAGTATTTGTATTTTTTCTCAGAAATGAGACATTTTCCCGCGGTAAAAAGTATCCTATATGTTGACCCGGATATCCAGCTATCACCATACTAAATTTCATCAAAATCCCTCTAGTGGTTTTTCTGTGATGCGGTAATAGACAGACAGACAAAAATTCTTAAAACTATAGATTCGGCCTCTATCGATAATAATGTTATTTCAATAAGATTTTCCAACATATATTTTATGTACAGATACAATTTTATTATATGTATAGATTATACACGATTTTAGTGTACAAATCAACCACATTTGAACAAGAAATAAACGAGCAAAATTAAAAATACTACCTTTCCTGTTCTTCAATATGGCAAATACATATTTTAACTGATACCTAGGAATAAAAGTTCCATTTTAAACAAAATAAAACTATATGACCTCTGAGACATCTAAAACCTTAGTCTCTCCCGTCACCACGTGCGCTGTAAAGCTTTCGAAACGTTCGAAAAGGTTGTTTTATTTCATTTAATATGTAAAATATTCGCGTAATTCTAAGAAATTATTATGAACGTTCCACTTGAAACATATATATTATTTATCTTTTCCATATATATATTATATATTTATCATACATATATATTATTTATCTTTTCCAGGTAACGGTAGATCAGCAGAAGAGCGACACTTAGAGCCGTGGGACGGCTGCGAGGTGGAGGTCGGGGAATCCCCCTCACTGAACGGGGACGCTCGTCTCGAGGACTTGGAGCTCGACCACCGTGCCAACGGCTGGGACGCGAACGATATGTTCCGTAAGAACGAGGAGGTGTATGGGGTTCACAGCACGTACGATCACTCCCTAGCGGGATATACGTTGCCGTTGCAGAGGAAGGATACTCAGGATTATAGGTGAGTGATGCTGGATGTTCTCATCTTTTTTAATGAAGTATTGCAACTCATCATCATCATCACCGTTCATGCTATTTGTTTTCCTTTTAAAGAAGACAGCGGTAAAGCGCTTGCTTGGGTAAACATTTTATGTTAGTAGTAACCCTGGGTTTCGCACTTGTCATGTTTTCATATGCGAATCGTTTTCTTAATAATTATCAATCACCTTACTATAAATAAAAAAATGGGGGGTTTGTCTTATGTAATGAGATAGTTTATTATAATTAATCATGCATACTTTATTAGATACGAGCATTGCCCGCGGCTCCGCCCGCGTTCAGATGACCAACAACCAAATTCTTAGGTTTTACATTGCAGTTTTTGTACTTTTTCTCAGAAATGAGACATTTTCCCGCGGTAAAAAGTATCCTATATGTTGACCCGGATACCCAGCTTTCATCATACCAAATTTCATCAAAATTCCTCCAATGGTTAGACCGATAGAGATTCTAAAAACTATAGATTCGGCCTCTGTATCGATAATAATGTTTATTTCAATAAGATTTTCCAAAAAATATTTAATGCACAGATTAGGCTTAGTTACAATTTTATTATATGTATAGATATTGTTACATCAAGTAATTGAAATTTATTTTCAAATATAACGATATTTTTTTGTTTATTCTGTTTATAATAAAACTATCTTCTCAGATTTTTTCGCGGATTTCTTTTGATTTAATTTTGGTTCGCGACGTTTCGAATGCACAACAGTAATCATTTTTATAAAATGTCAAATAATCGCGTAAATTTAAGAAAACATTATTTAATATATGTACTTGTATTTTAGAAATAGGCTTGTTATTTGACAAAAAAAGTTCTTACTGATAGATCACTCAGGAGTTCTGGAAAATCCTCAAACTTGAGAATTGTAAAAGTTTACTAAGAAAATTAACTGTGGACGTTGTGGTGTGGTAATAAATTATGATGTAAAATGTTCCAACAGGGACGCAGAAGCTAAAGCCGAAGAGATTGCAGCGGAAATAGAGAACACGCCGTCGTACAAGGCGCGGATAGAGCTCGAGAACGGCGACGAGGAGGAGCGCTTCGCGGCCGTCGTGCGTCCGCCGGACTCCGGCAAATACGTCATACCAAACAAGAGGAAGAACCTGCAGGTGGGAGTGGGAGTGAGCTCTTTGGGTTATGGTGTAACGGTGGTTTTTTTACTGTAATGCGTTAAGTTTAAACGTTAGTAAGGTTGGCTTATTCAATAAATAGACTATAAAATACTATAGGTTTAATTTTTTTTATTTATTAGGCTTTGAGATGTATGACTTATTTATTAAAGAGAGAATTATTATGATATCGATTTAATATCAGCTATATATGTATTTTATACTAGCGACTCACTCTCGCTTCGCTCAGTTCGTCCTAGGTAGGTTTTGACGCTTAGTATTGTAATAGTTTTTTTTTTTCAATTTTTTTTTCGTGAATTTTTCGATGCTTTAAAAGTTATTCTGCTATTCGGGATGAAAACAACAAGTATCATAAGAATCGGTCTAGTCGTTCTCGAGTTATAAGTGTTGTAAAAAACCCGACTTAGTTTTATTTATATGTATACATATTGAATTACTGTGTAACACACATACCTATGTACATACCATGTATATGTATAGCAAATAAACACAATTCCAGACGGGAAAGCTGGTGAAACCAAACAACAACAACAACGGCGCGCCGCCTGCCCCCGCCGCCAACAAGCCCGCCTTCGCGCACGCGCCGCCCAAGGACAAGGAGCACCGCCCGACCCGGCACCACCTCACGCCGCCCTCCGAGAGGGTGGACCGCCCCCTGGACCGCCCTATGGACCGCCCCATGGACCGCCCGGCGGAGCGACCGGCCGAGCGGGTGGAGCGACGACCTGATGAGCCACCGGTAATACACGCACACACATTCAAACTCACACACACGCATACACACACCTATGTATATGTATGTCTTTATTTACCCTCCTAATCAATTACGGTCACTCGGTACATATTATATATAGTGCACAAGTGTATGTAGTATACGATGTACATAACTGCCTCGGTGGTGTAGTGGCTAGCATGTACGGCTGCACACCCGGAGGTCCTGGGTTCGAGTCCCGGGTCGGGCCAAGTTTAGTTATTGAGTCTTCCTGTATAGTAAGTCTCAGTAACAGCCCGGAGTTGGGAAGTTGGCGGTGTTTCACCCCCGTGCCTCGGAGAGCACGTAAAGCCGTCGGTCCTGCGCCTTAACTCTCACCGGTCGTGTCGAGTGGTCGTCCCACCGGAGTATGAGAGTGATAGGAATAGAGAGTGCACTTGTGTCTGCGCGTACACTTGAGCACTATAATATCTCCTGCGCAGTTGGCTAATCTCATTGAGATTGGCCGCCGTGGCCGGAATCGGCTAGGAGAACATCATCATCACATACATATGTCCCGATACCACCTCATGTTGCTCTCCGAGCGTAGACCGAAGATCTGTAATACACAAAAAGATAGAGGGAGAGAGATAGAGAGAGATATATACATATACACACTTTGGTACATTATACAGTCCGTCCGACCCATTTCGATCACGGCGGTCTATTTACTGAGACAGGTCATGTGTTTTGTACGCAATTACTATGCCTTGTTCTCTCTATGCATTTCTAGAACTCTAGTCTCATGCATTTCTTGACGTCAAAAACCAATAATTATGTATGGCCCGTCACTTGCTGCCATGAATGCTGCTAACTAATAGACCAGAAAGACAGACTTATGTACATATATGATTGTACATGTACAGACACCGAAGGCATAGTATATGTTATTTTAATCCTCTAAGTAAATGCTGAAATGTATATAAAAAATATTCTCCAATTATTTATATTTGTAAATAAATCATGGTAACATGTAAGCCGCTGGCTGAACGGTGTGGAATTTTGTCCTCATGTCATTCATCTTGTCAAAATCACTTCTGTCTTTTGGTTTACAACTAAACCTTATGTACACACTGGCTTATGGGCGGGAATAGTTTTTTTTTAATCTTCACGAAGATATTCTCAAAAAAAAAAGAAACAATATATAATCAAAAGTGTAAATACATTCCCACTCGCGTGTTTTAAGGAGAAGAAACATCGTCCGCCGCGCCACAACCTCACGCCTGATAGGCGGTCTGATCATCCATCGGTAATTATATTATAAATAATTGTTACCAGTCTTTTTTATTTTTATTTCCAATCATTTTTCATGGCCATTTTAATAAATCTCTATGTCACAGAGGTTTTTGTCACAGATTATAATACTATATAACTTTAAAATACATAATATAAAGAAATGGTATGTAAGTTTTTTTTTAATTTTATTATATACCAAAATGTTTTAGCAAATAGAAGGTTAGGTTTAATATCATTTTTTTTAAATTTGCAGATTTAAATCTGAAAACTTTTCTTGTGTGAATCGACGATTTTTTTTTAATGTTGTTTTTTTTAGGATGCATTCAGTTTTCCAAAAGATATATATTAAGATGTATATTTCAAAAAAATGTTACAGGACTTATCATATAGTAAATGATTTTTAGATAAAATATAACACATCTTAGGATTTATGTGATCGTCCCCAGTATATTTTAATGTTAGATAACATTTATAAATCTTAAAGTTTTAAAACAAAATTATTAAATTACCGCATAGTTTCATACTAAAGTTCCTCTCTGTACTAAAGTGTTATCAATATTTTGTTTGTATGTATGCAACATTTGCCCGAAGTTTGCTACGTTAGATAGACAGTTTACAGCTAAAGCAGATTTATCCCATATTCGATATATTATATAATATGTATACTAGCGAAATACCCTCGCTTCACTCGGTATCAGTATGCTAATTTTGTTCACATTTTCATGGGTTTTCATTTTTTTTGCGCGGGACCGTAATTCTTTTTTTTAAAATAGAGGCAACCTAAATTACTCCTTATAATCTTATCTGCCAGTTGTCTGCCAGTAAAAGTTCCGTCAAAATCGGTCCATCCACTTCAGAGATTAATCGGAGCAAACGGACAGACATACAAAAAAAAAAAAAAATTGTTTTTTTCTTATAAATACCGTATATACTTTCATATGTATTTAGTCGAAAGCTGGTATTTTGACATTACAAGTAGACACTTCAAATTTTATTTGGGTGTAATACTTTCTTAGATTCATGCGAATATTTGACATTTTAAATAAACCTATCTTTTAGCGTTTTTTCGCGGATTACGGTTGTTGTAAAGCATTCGAAACGTCAGAAACCGCGAAAAAATCTGAAAAGATTGTTTTACTTATTTGTATCTATATTGTATACTAGCGACTCACCCTCGTTTCGGGTTCGTCCCTAGCTTGCTTCCCAATACAAATTTTTACCCATTTAAGGGATGATTTCCGGGATAAAAAGTATCCTACGTCCTTCCCAGGGTCTCAAACTATCTTCTTACCAAATTTCATCTGAAACGCTTTAGTAAATCCAGAAATTACCCCCTACAACATCACAGACTCACAAACTTTATCTCTTTATAATATTAGTATAGATAGATATGTATGAATATTATATGTTTTAATTATATAACGTTTGCCCGCAGGCGGCCAGCCCCGCCGCGAGCGCGGGCGCGGCGGCCAACAAGAGCTACGCGCAGCAGGCCGGTGCCTACCACGCGCCGCCGCCCTTCCCGCACCACCACCACCAGCAGCACCAGCACCAGCAGTCAGTGTACCACTTATGTTCATGTTCATGTTTACTTGATGATTACCAACTGCCTCTGTAGTCTAGTGGCTAGCATGTATAGCTTCAGATCCCGAGTACCTTACCTTTACCTAACAGCCAAGTATAACCTCAAAAGTCGAAGAGAAACGATTTGGTCTGAAATCTAGTTTAGTCCATAACATATTTAGCAACCGTCATATAATTTGTTTTTGAAAACTTATTTATAAGCAAATGTAGAAATTCCCGTGGAAACTGGAACTAAATTTAATCGGTCCACGGTTCAGCTACAGGAAAGTCCCGTAGACTCGTAGATCGGGCGAGTAGTCGCTTTGTATTCAAAAAAAAATTCAAAATTCAAATTTTTTTATTCAGCATTAAATTATTGCAATTGTTTACTGAACGTCATGAGTCTACTACTGGTAGTAGTCGGAAAGAAGAAGCCTCAGACCTGAGAAGAACTGGCGAAAGAAACTCAGCGGGATCAATATCTTTTCTTAAAGTATAATCTTTTTTTTAAAGTAAAATTATAATTTACAATATTTCTATCAAGTTGAAGTAGCCTGGAGGCGATCATTTCATTCTCAAGCTGCGTCATCTTCTATAAAATCATTTATTCTATAATAGCCTTTAGCACACAAACGTTCTTTAACATTTTTTTTTAATTTGGCGATAGAAGCCTTTTGAACATTTTCTGGGATCCTGTTGTGTTAACACACACACGTCCACATTATTTATCGATCTCGGCATAAGATGTGTAATATATTATGTAATTTCAGGCAAGCAAGCGGTAAAATGAACGGTGAGCCTCGGGCTGCGCCCCTGCCTCGCCAGGGCTTCCCGCCACACCACCACCACGTAAGTTATTTTTTTTATTTTTTATTTTATATTCTATTGTTGTATTGTATTCATATTCGTGTTTATTTGCGTATTCGCTCCCATATTATATTAGAAAATGTATATGTGTGCTTTTATATATCAATGTGTGTAATAAATAGTATTGTAATGATGAATGATGATGATGATGATGATGTTCTCCTGGCCGATTCCGGCTACGGCGGCCAATCTCATTGAGACTAGCCAACTGCGCAGGAGATATTATAGTGCACAAGTGTACGCGCAGACACAAGTGCACTCTCTATTCCTGTCACTCTCATACTCCGATGGGACGACTGTACGACACGACCAGTGAGAGTTAAGGCGCAGGACCGACGGCTTTACGTCCTCTCCGAGGCACGGGGGTGAAACACTGCCAACTACCCAACTCCGGGCTGTTACTGAGGCTTACTACACAGAAAGACTCGATAACTAAACTTGGCCCGACCCGGGACTCGAACCCAGGACCTCCGGGTGTGCAGCCGTACATGCTAGCCACTACACCACCCAGGAAGTGAATTATTTAATATAATATGACGTATGAGTACACCTTTTTTTTTAAAACTAGACAACCTATCATTCAAGATATCAATGTCCTAATATAATATGGTAAATATAACAGAACCCGCCCCCGGGCGCGGAGGGACACACGCGGCCGCCGCGGCACCACGCGCCGCCGCCCGAGCCGCGTCGTCAGGACGAAGTCCAAGTTGGTTCTATTTACTGTTATATATGTGTTATATTCGTTCAATTAGTGACGATTTCTGGTAAAACATATTCAGGACGAATATAATGCATTATTTACGTATTTTTTTTAGTATAATAAATATCTTTTTTAATTGAAATAAGTGGTTTATGCTTGCCTTTTTAAAGTCTTTCATTATTTATTTATTTATTTATTTATTCAGGTAAAAACAGTCGTAAACAAAAAATCTAAAACAGTAAGGATACAATTAGACCTATATTACCCTAAATTATTACTTTCGTTAGACAACGCTAAGTTTAAGGTGTTTAAGTTTAGTTTTTTTTTTTATAATACACGGTAGGATTTGTAGAGTCTACAATTAAATGTAGAGAATATAGCATACCCGATAGAATTATACAAATTATGAAAATACATATACATATATTATTCAGTATCAAATATGTAACAAAACAAACGCCACCAGGAACTGCGCAAGTTCGGGCAGGAGTTCAAGCTGGTGACGTCCCCGGCGCCGAGCGCGCCGCCGCCCGCGCAGCCGCAGCAGCCACCGCAGCCGCAGCAGCCGCCGCAACCGCAGCCGCAGCCGACCGTCGTCAGCGTGCCGCCACCGGTATGAGATATATTTTGTGTGTGGTTGAGCGTTTTGTGGTTGATGAAAAATATACTTTAATTCATAAAGTTATGACAAAAAGTCGAAAGTAAATATTGAAAAAAAAACAAGTCAAAAGTAAATCAATTTAATTGGTTTTTGTACACCTTTAAATTTGGTTTATATGTGATTGTTTGTTACTCTTCGCACTAAAATGGTTGGCTGGATTTGAATGAAGGTAGTACGCATGTATGTGAGGCAACTACGGACGATTGACTCGCTAGTACATAATAACTAGTCCGCCATGTTGGATTTCGAATGCCGTCATACAGCTTGCCATGTATTGTCATTTAAACTAAACGTGTATACAAAATTTCAGCTCAATCGGTTGAAGGTATCTGCTTCAAAATTGAGTTGCAACTTGCAAGATTCCACCCGGACAAACGTACATACATAGCAAGTTAAAAATAAAAGCTTGTAAAAAAGTAATTGATGATAAAATGATCGATTGTACCCGCTCAGCAACAGCAGCCAGCCGCGCCGCCGACCGCGGCAGCGCCGGCCGCGCAGCCGGCGCCGCCGCCGGGCCCCGCCAGCCCGCCCGAGGTGTCGGCCAACGCGGGCGCGCCGTCGTCGCCGCCCAAGCGCGAGCGCGCGCACAAGCACGAGGCGCACCCGCCGCACCCGCCGCCCGTCACGCACCATAAGGTAAGCTTATATATACCTCGAATGATATATATGTACTATGTATTATGTATATATGAGATATGACTTGAAATGAAATTTGTAAGACAGTATATTCAAAACTTTTTTTTTTCAAATGAAATCATCTTTAGTCGCGCTTAGTGGTTCTTGGTAGGGCCAAAACGAACCAGATTAATTTTTGAAATTTAAATTATTTATACTATATTTAATTTAAAACTTAAAAAAAAAGACCACAGTGATTTCAAAGTTATAGGTTTTCACTTCTGTCAGTTGTCCTGCCTACTTTTTTTTAGTTTAATATTTTTTTGTTATATAAGTTAACCGTTTTATTATTTGTGACTTTTGAATATAGATCGTACGTATGGTAATGGTACATGAAAAAATATATGTTTAAATATTTTTTCTTATATTTATTATTATTACTAGTTACTGATCATTTAACTAGATTCGACCAATCTTAGTATAAATAGGTTTTTTTTACGTAGATTAGACAATTTGTGCAATTTAAGCTCAGATTTTATAACCTAACACTAACCCAACCTCCATCTCTTCCAGCCTCCACCAGTGCCAAAACAAGAAGAGCAGCAACAAGAAGAACGGTCACCAGCTTCCTCATCTCCGCCATCCTCAGCATCCTCCGCATCGCCAGGAGCCGAGAGGGTGGAGAGGGTGGCCGCCGCCCTCAAGAAGTCCACCCTCAACCCCAACGCGAAGGAGTTCAACCCCAGCGCCAAGCCCTTCACCCCGAGAAGTCCCACCACGCCCAGTCATAGCAGGTCAGGGTTTTTTTTTAAATCGATAGACATATGAGACGATTTTGTCGGTTGACAACATTCAGTAAGTAAAAGTATTTTGTAGGATGTTTTCGCGGATTTATAACAAACTTCTATTTAGAAGCTTTTTATTGCTAATTTATTTGTATGTATGTTTTTTGGTCACTATTGTATGTTATTGTACCTAAATATTACATTGTTATTGTAATGTCATTAAATTGTTATTGTAATTCTTTAGTCTTAACTCCGTGACCATGATTGCTTTAAAATATTTGAAACTTGGGAAACCAAAAATCCGTGCAAAAATCCGAAAAGAAAGCTTTGTTCAAAATGTTTTTGCTAAACGAGTTGCCCAGTTGCTTAGATCAACGATTTCATATCTTTAGTTTTTAGAAGTTGTAATCCTTCACTTGACATTTGTTTTTTAGAAGTTTGATAAGTTTTCGCGCGAAAGGATTTTACCTACGTAGACTAAATGAAAATGTTATATGTAATTTACATTTTAATTCTTTTCATGAATATAAAGAATTAAAATAAATATACAAAAAAGCTTATGAGTCAGGTTTACTTAAGTTATTGTATTTTTTTTATTTCAATAAATACAACTTGTGTTGTGTTATTTATGTAATATTTAATTTAAATAAAATCTATCGTGTGCAGGCCACACACGCCCGGCACGCCGGTGGGCATGGGCGCGGGCATGGGCATGGGCGGCGTGGGCGTGGGGCTCGGCGGCGTGGGCGTGGTGGGCGCCGGCGTCAGCTACGTGCCCGCCCCGCCGCCGCCCACTATGGTATGTACTGGCTTTTTGTTTTTTTTTTTTGTTAAAAATAATATGAGGTATTATAGAATTATAGAATATAAATTGTGGGAATGTATTTGATTGACTGATTTGTTTATGGCTAAACCAGCGGATCTAAAGTGCGTGGGTTAGATTTTTTTATATAAATATTAAAAAAAAAATTAATTTTATTATAGGACATGTAATTTGAATAAAAAATTATAATGATTTTGACTTCATTCATCTGTAAATGCATATACAATTTTTATACCTCAATGAATAGGCAGATGTGTTTAATAAATTATTATTTTTTTACTTTATTTCTTTCTCCCCTATATTTTGTATAAGGTAATATGAATGAATGTATGTGATGTCTCTCGTGTCTCAGGTGGCAGTGTCCCCGCACACGTACATGGTGGCGGCGGCGGCGGCGCAGCAGCCCCCCACCTATTTGCCACATCCGCATCCGGTAAATAACATATATGTAATAAGTTTATATATTTATTATCTATATAATGTACTAGCAGTACCCGCGGTTACACTCGCGTTTAAACTTCCGATCGCTACCAAACTACACAGGACCCGCTGGGCTAATCTAAAGATTGGCTGAAGATTTCATCAAAATCGCTCCAGTTTTGAAGTCCATAGGCAACATACATACACATATTGATTTTATATAAATATAAGTTTTCTATATTTATATATGTACTTAGTTGGATTGGATACAATGCATAGTGCAACGCGATTCTTTTTTTCTTTTTTTGATTAGTGATGAACTTATTCTAAAATTTCTTTAAATAATATAAATGGCATTAGGTACAGTTATTGACGTCTCCAGTAATTGTATCACGTCTTGTGTATTATATTAAATATAATATGTGAACAACTTTTCCAACTGGAATAGCACTGTGTATAAAGGATATGCAAAAAAAAACAGAAATAACAGCTATTAACATAATAATTATGTTCTGGGTCAAAGATCCTTGAAAAATAGAAATAAAAAGAAAACAGTAAATGTTTTAAAACTGTCATTTTTTATTTTAATTTGTTATTTTAATACAATTAATTATATTCAAATCTTTTATTTATAAGTGATTTTAGAATGTCTTGTTTGAGTTCCCTGGACTTAAAGACACCTGTTTTAATAAGAGCTGTTTAGTCCTGAAGTGTTTTATAATTAAAATTTTATTTGCTCTCGAATCAATTAGATAAGCTTATTTTTCTATATATATTTATTATTCCAATAAGATTTTTCAAAAAAACTATTGAAACATAAATCAGATCTGTTTCTCTCATACAATAGTAATAATTATAAATATAAAATAATTACAGTCGTCTAATAAATTGTAGATGCAATTGTGTGGGTGGACACGTGGGTGAGGCGCACCCGACTACCATACATACGTATACCAGTCGGGAAACGTCTTTAGGGTTGACACGTATAACTGTAATATGCCACGAGATGGCACTACGGTGTTTTAACATCGAAACCACCATGATAATAGAAATACTAATAGGGAATATGCATGTGATTTAAATAAAGGGCAAATATTTTTGTTTTTATCTTTATTGCTTTTGAATTAAGCCTATATCAATATTTTTTAATGTTATTTCTTTTTGATTAAAAAAATAATTATTAAAAAGAACAAAATATATAAGTGGGAAATTCAAAGTAGTTGAAACGCCATTGGTCAGACCTAATGTGACGTCAGAGTATCATGACAGAGCGATCAGAGATTTTGTCGCTACCAATTGAGTCGTCATTTTTCCGTATATATACTGTGACGTCACGCCAAACGCGCGAAATGGCGGGAGCTTAAAGTATCCGTATTAGTATGATATTAAAAAAAAATTATTTAGTTTTTTTTGAGCTGATTATTTTTTTTTTACAACTATATAACGATGTTAGCTATTGTATAGACAGTAAAAAAACACGCATATTCCATATTGTATTTCGAATTTCGATCCATTCTTGCATTTGACAGCATTTGTGTTGAAAATCAATAGTTAATTTATCGTCTGTTATATGAATTTTTATAGTGTGGTATATATGAATAGATGGAGATGGGGTGCGAGTGTCGGCAGTACGCGCCCATCCTCGTGCTGGACAAGCGCGAGCGCGACGCGGTGAGCGTGCCGGGTTTGATGCGGTTCTCGTTGTGTGCACTTTGTTTTGTTGTTCTTGATTGTTCTTGGTGATTCTTGATGATTCTTAACTATTCTTGATTATAAAAGGGGTAGTTACAGGTTTACAGCCTAATAAGGGTACACATATCTTTAATAATTTTATTGATATTTTTGTTTTTTTTTTAATGGGTTAATAGATTTTTTTTTCTTTATTCATGACTTTTTTCTAAGAAATTTTAACTAATTATCTTATTCAAATTAGTTAATTACATTACTAAGCAGAAATTAAATTATATAACATATACATAAGGTCAAAGATCTAAAGTTAATTAAAATATAGATAATTTATATTATATAATTACTAACAGGATATCACTTTCTTAGATTTACGCGAATATTTGATATTTTAAATAAAACTATCTTTTCGGCTTTTTGCGTATTCGTTTTCGGATTCATTTTGATTTAATCATTACAGCAATCGTGTTCATGGGAGAGACCTACACTGTGCGGTGTTGTCTGTAACAACTATTTAATAACCTTTGAGATATCTAATACCTTAGTCTCTCCCGTGACCATGATTGCTGTAAAGCTTTCGAAACGTCGGGTGCCAAAAATATAGTTTTATTTAAAATAGGATATCATTCAAGAATACCAACCTATAATAAAATACTTTTTATATACAAATGAGAACTCGCAAAATCAAATCCGTACACTACCACATTCGAATGTGTGTTTGTTTGTCAATGCAGGCTTTTGCGTGTGGGTGGACTTCCTTTAACCAGAGATAAGCTCGTGATGTCATTATCATATGTCCTTATATAAATTAAAAAAAAAATCTCTTAAACTCTAAATTTTCATGGTCACTGACAATATTATCTAATTATGATGTAAAACGGAATATTTATCAACTTTAGCACTTACTTTTGAGAGTTACTGATATTTCGCCATTGTTGCACGCGCCATGGTCACGCATATGAGTAAGCCCGTGACCATGGCGCTTGTAACAGAAACTCTCAAAAGTTAGTGCTAAACATGGTAAATATTTTTACATCATAATAATAAGGTATAGGTATACTTTTTTATTTACATTAAAAAATGTTATATATAAGAACATGGATTCCCATTATTTGATCATAGGGCGTGTTTATAACAAGGTTTTTTGTTACTAATATTTGAGTGACATTTTTTTGCTAAGTCGTGTTACATTAGTGTCTAGATTATGATTGAGACGGTGCTCTAACAATATGCTAAGTGTGAAGCTAATATCTCAAAGTAATTTATTGCAGTTTTTTTAAAAAACTTTATTACAATCGAAAATGTGTAATATTTTATAAAAAAAAAACAACATTTAACTATGATTGCGTATCACCAAAACATTGATTCGTTTCCTCCTGTGTCAACTTGACGAGATCTTGAGATATGGACCATAACTTGGCGGCTGCCATCTTATCTTCAGCCTTATAAGACGGCTTGGCTTCCCTACAGTCCTCAAAGTATTTGCCACTGACTTGGTCACATTCATGCGATACCGCCAAGTATACAGACGTCTGTGCACCGTCTGCTGGCGATTTGAAGAACGCGTATAGCATCAGACTCCTGATTTTCTCCAAAATATTAGAACTCCTATACAATGCCGTGTTCACTTGACCCGGATTCAAGCTGTTGACATCGATACCAGTTCCTTCGAGCTTTCTAGCCAGCTCTTTGCTAAATAATATGTTGCACAATTTGCTGTTAGCATACGATTGTATGTAATTATGTTTTCCACTGTTTATGTCTTCGGTTGTGCCGAATCTGTGCCATGATGATGATACAACGATAATCCTACTTGGTGCTGCGTGTCTCAGCATGGGTAGTAACAGAATAGTCAGTAGGAATGGTGCAAAATAATTAATTTGCAAGTCTTTAAGGATGCCATCCTTAGTTCTATCTCTGCTAGTGCATATCGCTCCAGCATTATTTATGAGGACGTCCAACTTAACCTCTGATTCTTTCAATTTCTCAACAAATTTCCTAATAGACGCTAAAGATGTGAGGTCCAGATGTATGAATCGTACTCGTTTGTTTCTCGTCTTGCTTATAATTTTTCGCACAGCCTTTTCGCCTTTTTGGATGTTTCTACATGCAATGATCACTTTTGCCCCCCTCCTCGCTAACTCGAGGGCGGTTTCGAACCCAATACCGCCACTCGCGCCGGTCACAACAACCACTTTGCCACTCATCACAGTTTCAGCGTAACATCGTCCCGTGGATAGTTTATTAAAGATTTTTATTGATATAAGTAATACTACGATCCATATAAAACACAGAAACAACATGTTATCACGATAAAGCTTCCTATTTAATAACCAGATGTAATCTGAAATAAAAAAAATCAATGAATTAAAATCAGTCCCAAATACTAATGAGGGAAAATAAGATTAGATTATGGTGATAATTTTAAAAGATATACTGTATACATAATACTAAGCAAGGTTTGTCACTAGGTACGTTTTAACGATTAGTATGGGATAGATAGACTATATATATATATATATATATATATATATATATATATATATAGTATTAGAGTACATATGATGAATTTTATATTTGTTACTTGAGAAATGATAAAATCCCCATATAAACTTTCATCCCCATTTTCAACCCCTTAAGATATGATTTCCTGGATAAAAACCACCCTATGTCCTTCGTAGGGTCCCAAACCATCTTCATACCAAAATTCATTTAAATCGGTTCAATATTTCCGATAATAGAGATTACTTCTTACAAACAGATAAGATAAACAAAAAAAATCATAATTTTGAAACTCTCACTATCTTTTGATTATATTATATTTATTATAAAACTTCCGTAGTCATAATTTATTGTATATATACATACATTTATTATAATGTCAATTATTCCAAACAAATTTATCGGATCAACTCGGATCTTAAGTTAGAAGCAAATTGTTCCACTCTCGTAACTTTGAATAAATTAAAAGAAAAAGTAGTACACCACGAGACGTTTCTTTACAACCGTGTGCTTCATTCGACTGGCGGCCGAATAAAAAACGCTTATGTAACTTGCCATGTGTCTGGCTTTACGTGCTGGTTATAAATTATCAATATATATTCCGTGATAGAATTTAAATTATCGTTTTAAATTAAACTATCCATTCGGATTTTTTCGCTGATTAATTTTGATTTTTAGTTTTCCGTCGTTGACTCGTTGAGAGACTCCCGTGACCATGATTGCTGTCGAGAACCAAAAATCAAAATAAGTCCGCAAAAAAACGACAAGATGGTTTTATTTAAAATGTCAAATATTCGCGTAAATCTAAGACGGTATTATTTAAATTATCGTTTTAGAGATCTGAATGAAATGTAGAACGTTTGTTGACTTAGATGAAAATTGCTTCATTTTTAAAAATATTTTATTGCTCCGGCGACATTATACCAGCATCTATACAAGTTTTCTACAGGTAGATAAATATTTATTATGAAATTCGATAGAAATTAAAATAAAATGTATAAATCTAATCGTTTAGACGAACAGACCAAACCTCTCTTTCATTAATGATTAATATATATTCCAATTATTGCTATCTAAATGTAAACAGGTATTTAGTGGTCGCAACTATCCGGACCTGAACGCTATCATATGATAATGTCATTATGCATCAATCTTATTAACGTTGTCGATTATAATATAGACTCGAATAATTTCCTTTCTCGAATATTTTCCTTTAAAATCTTTTGAAGAATAAATACGAAAACGTTTTAATGCTAACTACTGTATTATAAGACGCGACTGATCCTCGCTCGGATTCGTCCCTAGGTACATTTTATTTTTTTTAAGCGGAACCCTAATTCTTTTACTGAAATAAAAGTAGCCTAAAGTTACTCCTTATAACATAACTACCTACCTGTGAAAGTCCCGTCAAAATCGGCTGGGCCGTTTCGAAGATTAACCGGAAGAAACAGACGGACAGACAAAAATTTTAAAAATTATGTTTTTCTTATAAATACCGTATATATATATCTAAATGCATTTAGTAAAAAGCTGTTATTTTGACATTACAAAAAGTCAACAGACACTTCAGTTAAATATATCTGTATAGATGATGACGAGAAGATACACGAAGCATTATTTTACGGGTCCTTGCGTAAACTAATAAACATACACATAATTCACATTGTAATACGAGTTTATTAGATTCATGCTTATATAGTCATATTTTTTATGAAACTTTTTAAATTTTATCGTAGATTTATTATATTTTTGCCCTTATCGATGTTTCGGATGCTTTAAAGCAAACATGGTCACGGGAGAGACTGGCTCTCTGAATATTCTTGGCCGAACAAATTTGAAAAGACAGTTTTATTTAAAACCCCCTAGTTGCTAAAATCTAAAAGGTCGAAATAGTAAAACGAGTTTTTCCGGATCGCATACGCATACGAAATTTTGATTTTGATCATTATATAGTTAACAATAGGGCTTGAGATCATCTCTAAAATGAGACATACCATAAGAAATCTCTGTAACACTGTAAATAAGAATGACTTTAACATTTGAACGCAATTATTTGTTTCTGATTACATTAAAAAATATACTTAGTATTTATAAATGCATATTTTCATGTAACATTACATGTATTGTGGATTTTTTGTTTGATTTTGACTAATATATCCTTGTACAAAACCCGATCACCTCGTCCCACTTGTGCAAAAATCAATAGAGGTTGCTTATTTATAAAAAACATTATAATAAATATAGTATTGATGCTAGATTTCAATAATTTCAATTAGAATTTACATAACATTTTATCTCCTGTTGTGTCTTTAATTTGATCCCTTATGCTAATAACTTTATAGAACATCGATCAAAAAAGTTCTAAGTACACAATTCTAAGCAAAAGTTCTCTTAAAACTCACCAATTGTGTTTAGGTAATTATTCTAGTTGAAATATATATACAACAATGTAAATTGAACCTTAAATGCAATGGTTAAAGTTGTTTTCACAAATATATTTTTTTAATTAAAAGCGCGCTCAAGTGTCCAAATGAGCGCTCATTCTGTGAGGACACTTCTTTTGATCGACGTTATAGAAAGCACTTTCGGTAATTATTACTTATTTTACATATAAATATGTTGAATCTGTTATATTTCAGCAGTTGTACACTATGGGCGGTGGCGGGGGCGTCGGAGGCGGCGGTCAACATGCACCTTTACAATCTCAATCTCAAAGAAACTTTAGAAAAGGTAAGTATATAATAGAAATATTTGCCTACGCTAATGGTATATTGTTCTATTATCTTTCTTTATGGGTTATTTTTATTGTTTTAAGACAATTTACTGTATTGGTAATAGAACTAAATTGTAATTGATTATAGTCGAGAGTCAATATTGTGGCTTAGTGGAGTGTGTAACACCAAAAATAATAATTAAAAAGGCAAAGACAGTTTGTCAACACATGACGAATAACAGACAAGGACAGATATTCGTAAATTGCCGTGTGTAAGAGAGAAACAAAACATTTCCAGAAAGGCATCGAAATGACTAGAAGTTTCGAAATTCAGATAAGAACAGTTAGAAATTAACAGTTAATCGTCATATTATGTTGACAACTGTCATTGGACGTATAAAGCATGCTTCAGACGTGCCTTTTTAATTATTATTTTTGGTCTAGTGACGTTGCACACTATCCATTACGTGACAAAATTATTGATGTACTACTAATTATTTTCATTTATTTGCTAGCATTGGAATAGTACAGTAGATTAAATGTTTCAAATTATTTATAATAAAATGGCATCAGGGTTGCTTCAACCATGTGAAATGTGTAGTTTTATTATTGAGTTTGATCAAAATTGGGTCAGTAGTAGCTGCATGGTACTCTAATAAATAAATAAGTAAACAAACAGACTAAAAATTATTGTAAAATTGGTGATTTAGCATCAGGCACCTAGATTTAACGTAATATGTTTAGTATACTAGTGACTTAACTATGCTTGGCTCCAGGTGTTACTTCAGATTATAGTCTTATATTTGTATTACTTTTGTGGTAAAGGAACTTTTATAATAGTAGTCTAATGGATATAACGTGCCTTACGGTAAAGGAAAACATCGTGAGGAAACCTGCATATACAAGAGAACCTAATTTGTTTTTGAAAGCCATGTCATATTCCAACTCGCACTTGGTGGACTATCTCCTGATTTTCCTGGTGCTTTTAGGATGCCTGTACGTAGCGTTAAGGAAACGGGTTGAATCCTACTAATATATTATAATATAAAGCGAAAGCTTGTGATGCATGTACATACATGCATCACAATGATGAAGTTGTACGTTTTTTACTCTTCTAAACAAAAACTACTGAAATGATTTTGATCAAACTTTACTGTTATATAGTTTATTACACATCTATACTAATATTAGGTAAAGTTTGTGATTTTATGACGTTGTAGGGGGTAATCTCTGGATCTTCTGAACCGATTTAGATGAAATTTGGTAAGAAGATAGCGTGAGACCCTGGGAAGGACATAGGATACTTTTTATCCCAGAAATCATCGCTTAATGGGGTGAAAATGGGGATGAAAGTTTGTATGAGGATTCATGTTAGGGACGAACCCGAGCGAAGCGAGGGTGAGTCACTAGTAGGCTATAATGTATCTCACCAGAGTCCCCTGCCTGGGACATAAAAAAGGTAGAATGTAAGTAATATGTAATATATTTCATTTCCCATCAGGATCCGGAGTGCAAGTGGCGGCGGCGACGGGGCAGCCGCTGCTGGCGCCGGCGCCCATGCAGCCCTTCGTGCCCTACCCGCACCCGCACCCCGGACACCCGCACCCCGCGCAGCCCGCCATACAGTACCAGCATATGGTGGGTGGATCATTTCTATAAAGTCTTGTTCATTTGACCGCTTCGTTTTTGAAGTTATACTTCGTTTGGCACGTTTGAAAATAATATTATGAGAGTAAAATTTTTACGATGCCCGCTCAAGCAGACAGCCATAAAGCGACATGAAGTTAGCGGTATTTTTTTTACAAATAGAGAGTTGTGACATACGGGATAAGATCTTTAGCTATTTTTGTCCTTTTACGCCAAAGAAGTATAACTTCTTACGTGCGTACGTAAGTACACACACACACTTTTTTTTTTGTTGCGGCTGTATGGTACTACGACCATGCCTGGTTTTTTGTCATCGCCGAAAATTTAATTAAAGTAAATTATTGTGCATAAATGATCCACACTTACCCAAGAGATAAAGGGGCGTTTTTTCTTTTGTTGACGATACGCTTAGTTTAGTTTGTAGTGACCCTTCTTGCTGTGCCAGTGGTCGCAGGTTCGAGGCCCGCTGGGAACATTCATTTGTGTGATGAGCACAAATGTTAGTTCTCCAATCATATTCCCAACATATTTTTTTTATAATTTTTTCCGCCTCCGTACATTTCCAGGCTAATTGTGTGCCTTGGATCGGACATATATATTTGTAAATAAAGGATAAACTAATAAACATAATTTCGTGTTTGTATTGTATAGATTACAGATTTAATTTTGTAAATTCCAGGTGCGAATGTACCACCACAGCGGTGGCGGTGGTGTCGGCGGTGTGGGCGTGGGGGGCGTGGGCGTGGGCGGTGTGGGCGTGGGCGAGTACGCGCCGCCCGCGCAGTCGCCCGTGGCGCCCTCGCAGCTGTACCCGCCGCCCTCGCCCGCGCACACGCCCCACCCTCACCCTCACCAACACCCACACCCTCATCACCACTATCAGCAGCCACCTTTCCAGGTAATGTTTTGTGGTTTGTTTTTGTAAGAGATTGTAAGTATTTATTTGTGAGAGTAATATTACTTATACATATTATATAATATGTTTGTCTGGTCTTGTTAAATGAGAAGCAATTATTTTTTTTAAATAACACATCATTTTAATAATAAAAGCTTAATATAATAGTTATTAAATAAAAATGTTAAACTAATACTTCCATTTTAGAAAATAAAATATTTACTTGAAAAACTCAGAAAAGAAATGGAAAAAATGTGTCAAAGAATAAAAAAAATATTGCTAATTCATAGACTATTAATAACACATCAGAAAGTCATAATACATATATATTATAATATCATAGAGTTAAGCCATAAGAAGAACTATAATATGTCATCAAAATTAAAAGAATTTTGTTGTAATGAATGTAATTTTTTTTGTCATTATTGAATAGAACTAAATGCTTGCCATCCATTTTTAATCAACAACATGACAACTGACAGCTGTTTACAATAATACACATTGTAAACAGAATTATAATTAATTTAAATAACTATCGATGTCGCCATATTTTAAAAAAAAATATACTATATTTATGATAATACAAATATTTACTATCTGTTGTCTGTACAGGTGCTGTGTCCCCTGATGGGCCCGACGGGCTCGCACCACCACCACCACCACCCGCACGTGGCGTACCTCAACCACGCGCCGCCCACCGCCAGCCCGCCCCATCATCCCCACCAAGTGCAGGTAACTCACTTCATCATGTCTCTAAACAAGTATTCTATGTTATTGTTAGTTTCTCAAAGTCTCTGAATGGTATAAGACAGAGGTTCTCAAAGTTTAGTATCAAGACTTGAAGAATTCTTCCGTCCCACCACCGTGCAAGTACACGCTTCAACAAATTTCTCAAAAGCATAGGACAGAGGTTCTTAATAATTAAATTTCTCAAAGGAAAAAAAAGATTATTAAGTTTCTCAAAGGATTATTAAGTTTAAGGAAAAAAGGATTATTAAGTTTCTCAAAGGTAAGTACTCAAAGACTGTTAATGGTTTCACATACTACTTTGTACCTTTGTTACTCCTTCACGATGGTTAAATGGATTCGGTTGAAGTTTAGCATAAATATAATATAGTGATGTACTCCATGTACTTATATGCTTTTGTTTAGCTGTTTCCTTTATCTAGGGATGTGCCCGAACAAAGTGTGGTTAAGTCGCTGGTAATTGATAAATAATATATTATTATCTTTATTATGCCATCCCTATTGGATAACTATATAGAAAAAATAAACCAATAATCCAGCATGTATATATATTTGTTACTCTATAAGGCAAATACTATTATGATGATACCATACAAATTACAGTCATATAGTTTAGTTGACCAAAAACCAAAACCTTAGGTTTTACATATTAGTGTACTCTTACATTGCAGTTTTTGTATTTTTTGTCAGAAATGAGATATTTTCCCGCGGTAAAAGTATCCTATATGTTGGCCCGGACAACCAGCTATTATCATACCAAATTTCATCAAAATCTGTCCAGTGGTTCTCTCGTAATGCGGTAACAGACAGACAGACAAAAATTCTAAAAACTATAGATTTGGACTCTGTATCGATAATAATGTCTATTTCAATAATATTTTCCAAAAAATATTTAATGTACAGATTCGACTTAGTTATAATTTTATTATATGTATAGATAACTAATTATATAATAATAGCTAGTATATTAAATTCGAATGTGACGTTTGCAGCAAGTGCTGCTGCCGCCCTCTCACCAGTCGTCGGGCGGGTCGAGCACGCCGGGCGTGCACGCGCACCCCTAACGCCCGCGCTAGCGCCTGTGCGTGCTGCGCCTGCGCCTGCACGCGCGCGCCCGCCCGCCCAGCCCGCGCCCCAACCGCCCTGGCCGCCCCGCCCGCCCTACGCGCACCGCCCGCCCTACGCGCCCCGCCGGTGACGCGCCGCCAGCCATACAACTGGGGGCCTATACTGGGTTACATATATAATATATAATGGTATATAATATGGTACATCACTATGTCTCTACGGAGAAAATGTTTTTTTTTCGATTAGTTTAAAGTGACCATTTGTTCTGTCTTACAATTAGATATATGTATATGGTACCACATCTTGCTTAGACATTTTTTTTTAATAATTGAAGTGATATTTAACAATATGTTGTCTGTGCTCTTAGAATAAAGTAATATGATAGATGGAGAGTGCTATGAAATATTTAAAACTTTTAACCAATCAACAAACTGTCATAGATGAGACTGGTCAAAATGGAACAATTGAGCCTGGTTTTGAAGACTTTTTCGTATCTATTAAAGAATTCCAGTATACATCTTATGTGCTCCATCATTTGATCAGATCGATTATGTCAAATAATGTATGGTAATTCAGATTTTTATATGCAATTTTAAATCGATAAAACAATTAGAAGTAGGTTGAAATCGACTTCCAAAATTTGTTTATATAATTAATTACAAGTGAAATTATTAACAGCGTGGTTAAGAAAACTCTCAGTACAGTCAGCGAGATAGCTCTTATAATCTAAGCACTGCAAGTTGGGGAATCCCATATAAATATTATAAATGCGAAAGTTTGGATGAATGGATGTTTGTTACTCAATCACGCCAGAACGGATCTGGATGAAATTTGGCACAGAGATAGATTATAGTCTGGAATAACACATAGGCCACTTTTTATACCAGAAAAATGTACAGTTGTCGTGAAATATCCATACTAACCGTTAAAACGTACCTAGAGACAAACCAGAGCGGAGCAAAGGTGACTCGCTAGTGATGCTATATATAGAGCTACTTATTATACAATCTTAGACTTCATTCACAAATTATCATCTCCATCTATCTTATTGTTTTAGTCTAAGAGGGTACTGAAAGTTCTTTTTTTATGTAATTAATTCTTTGTTTTTTGAGATTTTAAAATAGTAATTGCAATTATATATTATTTATATAACGTAAATTTGACCTCAGATTGGCATTCTGTATGTTTCAAACTAATGAAATATGTAGTTGTGTTAACCTAGTAATATATTAGTTCATTCAAAATGCGCATATTTTTCACTTTTTCTTTTGTTTTTATATTGTAAATGACAAGTTATATAGAACACTGTTTTATACTTTTTTTTATGAAAGTGAAACATACATAGTGTCAGTTTTAAATTTGAATTGGCTTTATTGATTTTTTTTATCCGGTTCTATATTCTAAATAAAAGTAAAATTAAGAATATAATTATGAATTGTCGACGTGATTGTACCACAATGATTACATAAAAAACAGACATACAAACTAGTGTAATTTAAAACATATGTGAAATGTAAATATAGAGCTAATATATTCACTTATATTTATAAAAAAAACACCTTACTCTATGATACGTGCATAGATAAAATATCTAGAAAAAGTTATTAAATGATAATTGTTTTCTATGAAATGTATGCTTTGGAAGTATTAGCTCTGTAAAACGAAAAGTAATAAAATGCCTTACCGTAGTTAAACGTGTAACGCAATGATATAGAAGTTAATGAGACTTGTTATATCCGACTGGCAACACCGTTTTGCGTAATACGTGTAAAAGGTAGGTTACATTATTATATTTATGTCACATGAGTATGGCAATATTTTGTGTGTTTTTTAACTCTCTAATAGTTAAGCGGTAAATGATAAGAAAGCGTTTTGATATAAAAAAATAATATAAACAATATAGATTAATATTTGTTTTTTTGGTGTTATAACCAATATTTTTTTTTTATTTTGTAAACAAAAAAAAATGTTATAAATTGAATCTCATACAATTTAAATTGTCACTGTCAAGAAATGACAATTTGTGTATGTTTATATGTTGTCATTTTGTAATATAAATATGATAGTGTGACTTCGCCCTTAAACTTGAATTCAGTGTTGCCAGTTTACCCAGTGTATTATATGTAGGTAGGTAGGTTAGCGAGGGTGTGGCGTGTTGCCGCGCTTAGGTGTATTATAGGTAGATAATTCTCTCCTCGGACTGATGGGATTTACTTATGGAGGGTAGAGATAAGGAAAACTATTTTATATGGGGGGCAAGATGATAAAGTGTACGCCTGTAAGTGGTAAATAACAGTTCAAAAATCCATCAGAATGGCGTTAGCGTAAGGTGTATGATCTGAATTTAGTTAGCATTTGTATACGGAGTGAAGTGTGTCGAATTGAAAAATTTATTATTGTCAATTTTTGGTGACTTGAGTAGTTATTCAAAGTGCAGTATCCAAAACCTCATCTATTTACTAAGTCTTAAACGCTGTGAGATTATGTAACCATGCTCTAATAACTTGGCACTTTTTTTTTATTTAGCCATTTGCCACGCTAATTTTATGTTTTTCGACGGACACTTTTTCATCACCGAGATAGTTCTCCTTACCTCTACCCTCCATAGATTTTCTCATTTTGATCTAGTACAGATTATGTATATCAAATAACAAAACGAAACGCAGGGCGTCTTAATAGTAAACACACGTAAAAGTATCTAAGAAATCTTCAATCGAAAATATTTTATATTAATCTGTCTGTTCGTACTCGATAAGCAAGTAAATACAATACAAATCCCATCAGTTGTATCGTTGCCCAACGTCGTCCCTTCGGGCGGGGTCGCGTTATATTTATTTAGTTATATTTTTTAGTATTATTATGAACTGGAAACATTTACGCGAATGTCAATTACGCGCGGTGTTTTCGCGTTATCTGTGGACTAGTTGGACTTTCCTTTTTTAACTGTGCCAGGGTTCGATTTTGTGTTGCCAGTTCAAAAAATATTTTATTTTTAACTTTTTTTTGGCGATTCTCTTGATTATATTGTCTTACGCTACGAGGACGATTTTTTAATGATGAACATTTTAATATTAATGATAGACATAATGAAAAATAATGATTGATCGATGTTAAATGTGAGTTAAAATGTCGATTGTCTAAAAAAAATGGTTGTTTTGCAACTGGCAACACTGTTGAACCCAATGATCTCTTGTTTCCATGAGAAGTAGGTCATCGTATCCTCTTATAGCTGTATGAAATATGATAGTATATTATAAATATTTATTTGTACTGTTACTGCCTTTAAAGTTGTGCTCGCGTTTTAAAATTAATCTTGAGGAGCGCAAGTAGAATTGACAATAAAAAGAAATTGATAGATATAGGCTCATCTCGCGGCGTTTTGAATCGTATCGTCATAGGTATACGGCTCAAAATAAGTAGAACGTGGCAACTACAATATTTGTACATATAGGATTTCCAATTTAATATCTAATAACGCTCGCTTGATAAATGTCAATATTGAACGCCTTTATTCCTCCCAACGCTGATGTAAACGGTTTTTTTTTTAATTTATTTTGCACAATTTCGCTGTTAGACGTTAAAGTATGATAGATAGATTATAAATATGATATCTAGTGCATTGTTTTTTACCACCTTATGATCTGTGAAAGTTAATACGGGATAGGCGTACGACCAATATGGAACGGTGAAATTTGTAAGGATTTGTAATTTTTTAGGTCGAGCGATAACCCTCTAATATACGGGGTGCCTGACGGACCGCGTCCGAGCGGGAGTGTGTACTATGCAGGGCACGGTCGCTGAACTGTCTGTGCATGTTTGTTTGTTTGTATGTATTAAGGGGGGCTAGTCCATGACCTCCGCGCGGTGCTCCCTGGGTCGCGCCAAATGTGGACACATTCACATTGATATGATATCCACGCGCCATTACTTACTATGTCGCGCTAGAAACTAACTGTTATTAGAATCGGGGAAAAGATATGTCGATTGTGGATGAGCGCGATTGGTCTTGTCCACTTTTGTCCGAAATCGATTCGAATTGACGAATTTTTAAAATCGATTATATTTTGTGTTTTTTTATTAGTTTATTTTGTTGTAAATCATAATTAATGGGAGCATCCGCTTTTTGTTTTGTCTTTTCTGCGAATTTGATAACATGTTAATGTTTCTAGATTAAGAGTCGACGACTCTAGGGCCTACAGTGTTTAGAATTTTTTTTATACGATGTGGCGGTCGTTCTATGAGGGATCACATCACTAATAGTTAAATACTCATTGAACTTGAACTTGACATTCACAACTCGCTCGTTGGTTTCGGACTGTGTATTACTTAGGCATTTTATAATAAATGAAAACCGTAAAATTAAATTAGATATACATATAATATAATAGTGGTATATACAATTATTATATTATATATAAATAATGAGAATCGCGTGTCGAGATATGTATGTATAAAAACTTTTTCCTAAGTCCATAGGTAAATTAAGACGATTGTACATATTGTATATAAGATTTATAGTTAGACCGAGATCGAGTCCTTTCCTGACATAGCCTTGATTTTCATTTGTGATGTATACATTAAAGATTCAAAAAAAATCACAAAAAAAATAATATTTCAAAGGGCCTACTGGATCCGTACCACGGCGTTGACGTGTTAGCTATAAGTATCATTTACTCGAAAACGTGGTATGGATCGTATGTTATTATGTTTTTTTTCCACTTTTGTTTTTTTTTTATAAATTTTATTACGTGCGTGTCACCGCGTATGTTTGTTGCTAGTGACGTGAGTGAGAGAAAATTCTAAGTGCGTCTGTTGATTGTTGTGCGCCATAAGTAAATGATATATCGATATGATTTCGCAATACTACTTTGCGAAGTTTCTTTGTAAATATAAGTACCGTACGTGAAAGTGTGAGGATTTATGTGGAATATTTTCTTTTTTGGAAAATCGATTATATTCTGAACGTCGGAGGTGTTTTCACCGTTACGTTACACGGTTGTGCTAACTTTGTAACAATTTTTTTGTAAATTTACCAAAAGCGGGCCCATGACGGATGTGTCACAAATTTTTCCTCGCAAATAAAAGTATATATATATGTCGTTAAGTCTATTTGGATGATAAATTTGATAAGATATTTTATGGGCCCGCCGGAATACAACGATTTAGCAACGTCTTAATTGTAACTCGTATCATGATTCGAACAGACTGACGCCTTGCAGTACCTAGGTTTATCATAGAACACTTGTATATATATTATGCCGTTTTTAATATAATTTTTCAAACGTGTTTAATATTTAAAAGTTACAAGCAAAGACGTTACACCAATGTTTACTATACATATATATGTAGTCGACTCCGTTGATATCTCATTTCGAAATATATATATTATATATGAGAAGGCGCTAAATAAAAATGTAATAGATTATTTAAGATGAACAGAACGTTTATTTGTACTATTGAGTGACATAACTCATGAATATTGAAGTTATGTATTAAATTATATAATGTAGTGGCATTATTTCGAAATGGCTGCTGAAAATTTGCGATATTTCCCCCCCAAATAACAGTCGATAAATTACTTATCTGTGCCTTTATCGATCGCAATATATAAACGAGTGAACTGCGAAACTCGCGGAGCTCGGAAATGAATCACAATTTACGTTTGAATGACACCGGTCGTCCGGTGAATACAGCTTTTTATGTTTTGTACCTGAAATATGGCACTTATTTGCGTATGTAAATATTCGTGCGGCAACGATTGCGCGATGAGCGTAGTGTTATATGCCTTATAAAACAAAGCGATGGTGAGACCGGTCGTGTGCAAATGAAACTCTGGTCGCACCGACGCGCAATAGCTGCATACTGTGTGTACAGTGGGAATGGGGGGGGGGGGGGGGAGTGGGGTGCGACAGGGTTTCATCGGCAACGGCGTAAAGACTGAAGTGATTATGCTTGTATGGAAATGTGCCTAGGCACGTACATTTGAATGACGCGTACAGCTGTGTCGATGGATATTTTTCAATAAAAAAATGATCAAAAAACGTGTTTTAAACACAACACTTGAGTGTTTTATTTTCTATTCTACCCTTCATTTTGATTATTTTAAAATTGAAAGACATTATTCATATTAATATTTTATTTATATTTTATTATGGAAATTACAACTAAAATCTATATATATAAAAGAAAGTCGTGTTAGTTACTTCGCTTATAACTCAAGAACGGCTGAACCGATTTAGCTGAAAATTGGCAGGGAGGTAGTTTAGAGCCAGGAGAAGGACATAGGATACTTTTTATCCCGTTCGACCGCGTTCCAATTTTTATGATATTTTAATTTTTGGATTTCTCTTAGTCCGGAATAGGTAAGTATTAAAACATATAATTAAAATGTGAGAAAGAAAGATTTTTTCTTTTTATATCTATTTAAAACGTACCTAGCGACGAACCCGAGCGAAGCGAGGGTGAGCCGCTAGTACATGATAAATAGGCAAATAAATTATCATACATCTTAATAACTAATGTAAATAAATTAATAATCGTATCTTTGAATTACAGTAAAGAAGTATTTTTTTAAATAATATGAAATATATAATAATAATTAGTCATTTTAAAATGTGAAACCATAAAACAATCGAAACATAATGATTGTATGGAATGTGACATATTTTAAAGACGTCTTTATATAAAATTAAAGTATGCTAAGTTCTTATATAACATTAGCTATCTGCCAGTGAAAGTCCCGTCAAAATCAGTCCAGCCGTTTCGATGATTGACCAGAACAACATTTTTTTTAAATTGTCTTTTTATAATACCATATAAAATTTCATTAAAAATCTTTTATTTCGATATTACAAACATACACTACAATGTTATTTATCTATATAGATATATACACAATAAATAAATACATTAGGCTTATATCATTATTTTATAATAAATTCTGATTGAAAATTATTCTAGAAAAACTTCCAAGCTGAAAAATCATATTTTTAATTCATCAAAGCAGGTATATAGTCCTAAATATAACTAAACTTTAAATATTACAAATAAATCTCACATGTCTGTTATTTAAAATAAATTATTTTCTAAGCTCAAACAAACAATACCTCAAAAATATAGAAAAACTACACATAACAAACTTTAATGTCTGTTACTGACATTGTTATATAAAAACTCAGACATAATTAACGTCTCAAAAGTGTCTTCAAAAAGAAGTGCACAATTCGAAATTGAATTGCGCTTTTTTCATTGCTTTTCAGAATATAACAAAATGAAAATGCACGTTGTTTCGTTTAAAAATGTACTTTATGTGGTGTGCATAAGTTCGTATTTGTGTTTAGACAACTAGAACTTTCGATATTTGAGTGTTATTTTTTGGTTTGACTTAACGTCACATGTCGACGCCACTTTTTCAAGAGATATTTGTTAGGAAATATGTATCTTGTGTTTTTATATATCAATGCTTAATGACATTTTATACAAATAAACCGATTTTGATTAGAATTTTACTAGAAATTACCATATACTTATATGTTACGAATATGCCGCGTATGCGTTCTGTGAACACCTTGCATGGCATGTTTCACTTCCTCTAAAAATGAAGTTGAATTATGAACAGTTGTACCTCCGAGTACTATCCTGACTCCAGGGTTTGCTAGATTCAGCTGGTGAACACAGAGAGCTTCTTCGTATGTGGTACCACCAACTATGAAGACTATGATGTCCTGGGGCCGTCTCCCTGATGATAAGTCATCACCACCGATGATGGGGTACTGGTTTTCCTGCAACTTGCCCTTCATCAGGTCTTCCAGGGTATCTTTTAGTAATGGTGTGTGTTGCGTGTAGATGTTCTCTACACCGCTTAAGCCCTGAAATTGAAATATATATATTTTTGACAGTTATTTTTTATTATATTTTTGATGATGAATTCTTTTAATCTTTTACGCTGAAAAATTGGTCTCCACCAAAAGGCCTTTTATATTGATGGAATGAAATACAACGAGTGTCAGCTCTGAAGGACTGTTGTAAATAATAGTGAAAAAATGTTTAAAAACAGATGAGATTACCTCTTACATCCAAACATACATTCTTTATCCCTTTATGACAGTGTATATTTAGCATTATGCTGTTAAACTAATTACTAAACGTATATTAACGATCTTTTCAATCAATTATTGGTTAGGTATCTATTCATGCGAAATCTACAATTTTTAACCAATTAAAAATTGATCACATCAAAAGAAAACATTAAAAGCGTTCTTAAAAAACGAGTTTAAATTCAAAATAATTTTAGTACGCTAACTATCGATAAATTAATATTTGAAAAATTCACACAGAAAAACGAGCATAAAAAAAATCCCCTACATACGTTTTACTGTTGAAAAACTCCACGTACCTTGAACAGCCTCTTAGTGATCTTGGCGGCATCCTGCAGACCGAACAGGTCGCTCTGGCGCGCGTGCACGCCGCCGTGCTCCAGCGCCAGCACGGGCAGCGCGGCGGCCGCGGCGCCGGCGCGCGCGCGCAGCGCCTCCACCAGCGCCGGCAGCGTGTTCCCCGCGTGCTTTTCGTAGCGCAGCCCGTACAGCGTCACCAGCCTCACCAGGTCCTCGGGAAGGATCGACTCGTTTGCGATCAGAGCTTTTAGACGCTGGAAGTTCATCACGTTATTATATTATTCATCTATCTGCTATATAAATGCGAAAGTTTGGACGAATGTTTGTTTGTTACTCAATCACGGATCTAGATGAAACTTAGCACAGAGATAGATAGTTAGATTAGGTTAGTTTTTATCCTGGAAAAATATACTATTGTCTTTTTGTTTTTTAATATTTTCTTGTAACTTTAAATTCACATATTCGTACGGTAATATTCACTTGTTGATTAAGTTTGTTTATATAATTATTATATGTTTTTATTTGAATGTTGCGTACAGATATAATTGGACAAAAAAAATAAAAAAATATTTTTAGTTTTTAATATGCAAATGTAATTTTCTTTCATTTGTTTTTTGTTTCTGTACCTAATTAAATTAAATAAATAAATAAAATAAACCTCTCACCATGACCATTAAACCGGAAAGTACCTGCAAATGTTTGTTGTGGTCGGAGTGGCAGACCAGCTCCTGCTCCAGCTCCGACACGGCCAGCAGCGAGCGGCGCGCCACCGCCGCCGACAGCTCGCCCACCACCGTGATGTGCTTCGTCACTGTGCCCGACATTTTCTGCAATCATGTTGTAGAAATAATAAAAATGTTCAAAAGGTAGCCCTATCGGTAAGATTGTGAATTCTTTAACCGACCTTTAGTTTATATAAAACAATAAAAATATAAAAACAGGAAATAACAAACTGTAAGATAGAATTATGAATACAAAATCGGACTCATTATTAAATAAAAACATACATACACATTTCGTAACAAATATCTCTTCAAAAAATGGAGTCGACATGTGACGTTAAATCAAACCAAAAAGTTCTAAATTTCTAAACACAAATACGAACTTACGCACATCATATACAGTACTTTTTTAAACGAAACAACGTGCGTTTTCATTTTGTTTCAGATTTAAAAAAAAACGCACAATTTCGAATTGTGCACTTTGAGGACAGCTTTGAAACGTTAATTGTGTACTGAGTTTTTGTTTATCAATGATTGGGCTAACTATTATTGTTAATATAAATATGTGTTTGTACTTCATTACAGTAAAACGCCTGGATGAAATCAGATGAAATTTATAATCTGTGTACACAGATAGACTATGACCTAGACTCCTAGAGTAACACATAGGCTACTTTTAAGCACGTAGAGCGACACGGGGTTAAGTCGCTAGTATTAATATGAACGAACGACTTTCCATCGCTTTGCTCGGGTGCGTTCTATTTCTCTACGCCAATTTTGTTCACAATTTCATAGGTTATTATTTTTTTTCACGGAACCCTAAATCTTTTTCTGTCCTTTATCCCGTCAAAATCCGCCCGTTTCTGAGATTAGCCGGAACAAACAGCTGTTATTTTGACATTACAAATATTCACTTCATTTTTATTTATTTGTATAGATTAAGTATGATTAATAATAAGAACCTTAAACAGTGGGTATGTCTCAACAAAGTTCTTCATGTCAGCTATACTCTCCACTTTCTGGTGACTTTTCGCTTTCTTCTGGAACTCGTCCATCAGTGACTTCATCGTTTGACCGATTTCACCAAAGTTTGAATACAGATTCTGTAAAATATTCCAATTTATAAATATATACCTGTACTGAAATTAAAAAGTTAAAGAGTTTATTTTATTTTTTGTTTATTTCAATTTTTGTTTTAACATGCTAATCTCTAGAACTACTTTGATTTTAAAGCTAATATTATAAGTTAATTTCCTTTAAAAAAAATTACACAAAATATCTTAATGTTTTGTATTACAGACAATAAAATAGCTATTCTTTTAAGAAATATATATTTTTTGAAATCACATTATGAATAAAGTTCTCAACTTCTCATCTCTACAAAAAAAAACAAGCAAGCAGTTACTTTTAATTATAACATTTTTAAAAATAATTTATTCTCTTACTTTAGCATAAAACTCGTCCTGTTCCGGGGCTAGGACCACTTCTTTGAAGTCTTTAGGCACATTGGGCAAGTGCGCAAGACTCACTCTATTGTTGTTGATGGTCAGTATCTCGTGCACCATCGCTTGGTATGTCCACTGGGAAAAATAATAATGCGAATACTATTGTAAATGCAAAGGTTTGAATTTACAATATTTGTGTCCGTTTGCATGTGTGCATATACGTATGCGCTTGTGTGTGTCTATAAAAAAATATGTAGGCACATTAACACACAGCACCATCTAGTTCCATGGTAAGCTACGAGGCTTGTGTTATGGATACCAGATAGTTGATACGCTACACATATATAAACTTTCAATACATACATATTATAAATAGAAACACTTGCACGCACAACGGACCAGAAGAGAGTCTAAGTGCGGAAAACGAGTCCACTTTACATTTAAATATAAACACCCATGACTGGAGTACAATCGTTCATGTTTATCACACAAATGAATGCCGCCAGCTGGACTCAAACTAGCGACCGCTGGCACAGGAAGTTGAGTCACTACAAACTGAGCCAAACGTGTCGTCTATTTATCAAGACTAAATGAAATAAATTAATGTCTTAAACCATAACTCAATGACCGAATTCAGCTGACAAGTGGTTGGTTAATATGAAACACTAAAATCTAATTTTACCAATGACCAAGAACCTAAAACCAAAACCCACCTGACTCAACAACGGGGTAACTGGATCATCACGTCGATCCAAAATCAATAACTGTGGCTGTGGCACATCACCGTTGAACGGTATATTATTATCAATCAACACAGCCTCCTTTCTAACCAGCTCTCGAAGCTTCTCTGCCAGACGAGCACTCGCGTCTGAACCGCCTTGGTATCTGATGATGGGTCGACGCTTGAGGGACAGGAGGAGAGCTAGTAGACCTTGAGTACAGCGTTGCAAGTGTTGTTGATTCCAATATTTACCTAAAAATATATAGAAAAGTTATCAGTTTAAAAAAAAAAGATGAAAAAAGATTTTTAGTAAAGTTATTTATTATGGAAAACATAATATAAAAAGCTATTTAAAATTTTCATTTTGTAACTTAGAATAATCGCATTTATCAGTGAAAGGTATTACTGTTTTAAAAAACTAGAAATAACAAAATCAAAAAAGCAATCAAAATATACTTTATTCAAATAGACCTTTTACAAGCACTTTTGAATCTTCAATTTTTACACTATTAAAATTTAAATTAAATATCAGTATGTAAATCCATGAGGAATCTACTACCGGCTCGGAAGGCAGTTCTACTGAGAAGAGCCAGCGAGAAAATGAACAGTTGAAAACAGTAAAAATAACACCCTTTTGACAAACTGAATTAATATATGGGACTCATCAAATTGAACGAGCCCAAACTCAAAGGTTCACTACTAGCTAGTAGCTATCAAGAGGTTGATTCATGCCCTGGCTTTACTTCAGACCTGCTTTGTATTATAAAAATATAAAGGTTTATACAATATTCATCTAATTATAAGAAGTGACTATAATTGGATAAATAAAAAAATAATTATCCATCTCAATTCAATTCAATTTTCTTGTTAATGGCTTCATGGCATTACAGTTGAAATTATCCATATCACTAATACAAGTTTGTGATTAACAACTGTGACATTTTTTTGCTGATAAAAAAACAACCCCAATTTATCTGGTTTTCATAAAAAGCTTCATAATGTGATAATTTTGACTATGTTAATATAATTTGCATCAAATCTATAACATACTTGCATACACACATAATACTATTACCTATTTCCTCTTTTCTTTCCTGGGACAATGTAAATGATATCTTTTATCAAAATTGTATTTATTCATAAGTATTTAAAACTAAATTATTTTTTATTATATTTTTTTTCCTCAAGTATCCAAATATATTTCATTAATTTTAAATATTCAATTTACAACTTACCATGCAAGCTTCCCACTATGTTGAAGGAGAATAAATGCCGGTCCACAGCCAGATAATCTGCAAAGACTTCTTGAACCTCCCTCACTGTCTCCTGCTCATCACATTCAGCCAATGTTTTGATATCAGCTTTCGATACTACATTACTGAAATCTAATCGTTAATATATTATGTAATTAGCCATATTCTACACTGTTTGATGGCAGAAAGTACTTGAGTGTGCAAAACAATATCTTAAACAAAACATATTCATGTTAAATTGTCTTGTTTACCAATTATAGCATTAAACAATTTTAATTAATCTTACAAGATACTTACAGATAAAATATACTCCATATTTAGGACATTTTAGCTCTCGGGATAATAGAGCAATATTTTCTGATGTTGGTCTCAAGAATACAATGCACTTCATATGCTTCAAGTTATCCCATTTGGTGTGACTGTCAATTCTCTCAAATAGATATACTTCCTTTTGTAAGATTTCTGAGTGACTGAAGACCATGCTGACAATGCTTGTCTAGATATATTAATAATAAATTAGAAATGACATATTTATATTAGAAAAAGACGAAGTATCTCACTCTCTTTAAGTAAATATCATTTTAGAGAAATTTATTTTTTTAAGGATACATTATTATTATATTTACTAATCTTGTAGTTTATGAAATGGACCTTACCGTTTCTTTATCCATTAAAATCACTTTCATGCCTGGGCCACTCTCTTCAGTCATTTTTGTTATATACATTTTAACAGCTTGTATGACATTCATTTTTCTAATTTATGTTTGTCTTTAATAAAAATCTGATTAAATTTTTATGTAATAGCTGGGAATTATGTTAAACTAACTTTCTATCTTCAATATTTTATTAAATTAAACCTGACAGAAAAAAGGGTGTATACTAAACTTCCCAAAGACGAATTTACACAGGGCACAATATTATAACTAAAAATTTTTCTATATTATAATACAATATATTAATGTATAATACGCCACTGATTGAATAAAAAATATTGTATTGTATTTATTAAATCGTAAAATCAACAAATATTGTTTTTCTCAATGTAATGACAAATGACATTGACAGCCTGAATATTGACAGCTCGTAAGTCATATACGTTCCGATTCACATATTTCCATGGCCTTAATTACATTCGAAAAATATAGGTAATAAAGGATTTACTTGTACTATCAATCTCGGTCGGGTCTTCTTTATCTTACGCGATATTTAGGAAGTGAACTATATTTACCTAAAAACCATAAAACTACAAATTGCTTGCTTGACTGATACGTATTTCTAATATTTTTATCAAGACCATATTAAGAATTAATATGCTTTAATAATGTACAAAAAGAAATTTCAACTAAGTAATTTTTTATCTTATTTAAATTTTAGTTCCGATTTTTCGATTTAACTCTAACCAAGCTTCAGGAATTCGCTGTCAAAAAGATAACGATAACATCCGAGTTGTGACGTGATTCGTGTATGACGTGAGTTACATCACTAGCTAGTTATCTAAAGGTCGGCCGGGTCGAGACTTCAGACTTGAGAGGTACATCGTGTACTTATAGAAACTAAATTAAAGCATTCAGTAATATACGCAAAAATGTTCTCCCGCGCAGTGAAACCAGTTGCTTCAATTGCCCAGAATGGCATTAAAAATTTCTCCACATCATCACAGGTAAACCTTGAAAATTATTTTATGGAAGGACACGTTTTCCGTTCCAATCGTTATTTATTTATTTTACTTTGTCAACTTCTTTTAAAAATCATCTATCATACAATTTTTTACAGAAAAACTTCAAAGTGGTGGTGGCGGGAGCCGCTGGTGGAATCGGCCAGCCCTTGGCCCTATTACTGAAACATAACAAGCTTGTAACTAGGTTGGCTTTATACGATATTGCTCCGGTTACCCCTGGAGTAGCCGTGGACCTCTCGCACATGGACACCGCATCCAAGGTTTCAGGACACCAGGGTCCAGACCAACTCGCAGACGCCATTAAGGGTAGGATAATATTATTTGTTGAAATTTTCTTTATGTACCGTTTATTACATGTTACATAACACTTTGTCTGTATAACCAGTATACATATAAACGTAGGCAGATCTTGAAGGTCAAGTACAATTAATTCTGGAATAGTATTTGTGAATGATTGAGATAAAGTTGTAGTATCTATGCCTACTGTTTCTATGTTCATTCATATTGATAACATCTACTTACTGATTGTTTTATAATTATAGTAAATATATATGTGTAATAACACAGAGCAATAATTATTTTATACATACAGCCTTACAAATAGCAATAAAAGGATATGTGGTGATAAATTTAATTATACACTTTGGAATATATTATACATAATTTATTATGTACAAGCTGATAATATGTATATGAAAGTATAAATATGTACAAAAAAATACTATGGTATTAGTTATTATCTTGACTCCGTTTACATAAAATTTACTTAGAAAACCTGAATTTGTATAGCTATCTGTAAGTAATAATGACATAAAGCTTATAGCACATTGAACCAATCAAGGTCAATGATAATACACACATGATCATATTACATGAAATTTTCCTTCGTTGACAAGATAATTTAAACATTATTTATTTATTTATTTGGATCCACTAGTGATAATTACAATGAAACAATTTTAAATTAATTACACAATTTAACTTAATCCTAAATGCATTACCTTTTAAAGTGGATACAGCATGCATTAATTTAATTCGCAATTTTAAATTTTGATAAATTAAAATATAAATAAAATTACAATAACATCACTACATATAAATAATCGGAATTTGAAAATAAAACACATACATAAAGCCTGTTAAATAATATGGAAGCATTAAACTTTAAAGAGTAATTAATTGAATAATTAAAAAAAAAATCAATTAAAAAAAAATATTGAGACATTATTATTATGCATTCTTGTTAAACAATATAAGTGTGTATTAGGAACAAAATATTTTAATTCTGAACTATTTCTTATTTTTCTACATATTTTTTATTATAAGAAGTGAGATATGCATATGTTTATGCAAATAATATAAACACATTGATATATTGTTGCACAGTAATTATACTGGGTTATTTCCAATTATGTTTGTGAGAATTTTTTCTTATGAACTTTGGAGTTTAATAACAAAGGATTTATATATACATATCCATACTACATTTTGAAAGATTGTGAAGATGGAGGATGGATGTTTGTTACTCAATCACTCCAGAACGGCTGAATAGATTTGTATGAAATTTGCAAAAAAGATAGATTATAGTCTGGAATAGGTTACTTTTATAGTGAGAGTTTTATAGAGTAGATTTGTTTTTTCGACAACAAACCGAAGCAAAGCTATGGTGAGTTGCTAGTAAAATATATTTCCAACTAAATTACATGTGTTACTAGTGACATACTCTTGAATCACTTGGGTGTGGAGCAGAACTAAATTTTGGGACTTTATAAGCAACCTATCCAGACTCCTCTTATTTATATAGACTTAAAAAAATTTACACTGCTTAGTTACATATAATATGTATGTATATGATCAAGTGATATATCCCTATTTATTTTATTTTTCAGAATTTGAAATTGTCTAATGGACACCTACATGTAACTAGCATAACAGCTGTGATATACGGTCAGAAGACTATGACAAAATTATAGGGGTTTTGTTTTGCCTTTTGGCTCATAATAAAAAAATAATAATTTGTCGATTTAATTATTTAAAAGCCCATAGAAGATCAATAAAAAAATTCATAATCTTACTTAATTTTCAAACAATATACTGAAACTAATATTTCTGTATCATAATAAAATTATTTCCAGGCTCTGATGTAGTAGTAATCCCAGCTGGAGTCCCCCGCAAACCGGGCATGACCCGTGATGACCTTTTCAACACAAATGCCTCAATTGTCCGTGACATTGCTGCCAGCATCGCTAAGAACTCCCCCAAGGCCATCATTGCTATCATCACCAACCCTGTTAACTCCATGGTGCCCATCGCTTCTGAGGTTTTGAAGAAGGTATGTATGTGGCTTTTATTCACTCATCTCTGTCATTGATAGGGTGTAAACTGTGATTGATAGGGTGTAAATAGATGTTTAATAAGCATATTAAGGAGACATAGGGAAATTCAATATAATTGGTTTATAAAATTTTAACAGTTTTCTAAAAAATAGAAGATTATTTTATGCCTTTAATGACATATTTTTGTTTTGATTTTTCTTTTATACACCTAACCTCTAAATAGCTTAGACAAATGATTCTTTTTCAGAATGTTTCTTTTTATACAATAAGTTATTTTAATGAGTATAACTTAATAATTTACAATAATATTTTAAAACTAGCATGTCCGCGGCTCCGCTCGCGTTCATATGACCAAAACCAAATTCTTAGGTTTTATATATTAGTATACTCGTATTAGTATATTAGTTAACCCGGATAACCAGGTATTACCATACCAAATTTCTTCAAAATCCCTCCAGTGATTTTTCTGTGATGCGGTCACAGACAGACAGACAAAAAATTTTAAAACTATAGGTTCGACCTCTGTTAGCGATAATAATGTGTATTTCAATAAAATTTTCCAAAAAATATTTAATGTACAGATTTGACTTAGTTAGAATGTTATTATATGTATAGACTAGCGGACCCGACAGACGTTGTCCTGTCTACACGTCTTTAATTTGAAAATTTCAAACTTTTTTTAATAATTTTTTTGATGAAAATTATTATTCAAATTGTGAATCTAAACCATTCCCAGATCCCCTTGAACACACACAAAAAATTTCATCAAAATCGGTCCAGTCGTTTGAGAGAAGTTCAGTGACATACACACTCACAGAAGAATTATATATATAAAGATTATTTTAAATCATTCATATTTGTGGGTATTTAAATGTCTGTGATGGACTTTTTTTAACATAAAATATTTGTTACTAGTGACTTACTCCCGCTTCGTTCGTGTGCGTGTTAAGCTTGAATGATATAGAAACGCATAAAAGACAAAAGCACAAAGAAACACTTTTTTTACGCCAAAAACCTTCACAATCGTAACCCATCAGAGTTTCCTCACAATCGGATCAATGGTTTAAAAACGCATAGAGGACAAACATACAAACATTTTTATTTATATAGATAGATAGAAGATACAATACTGGTTATAAGAAAGCTAATTTGATACTATATCATGTGTAACACTAACATTTAGTGATATTACCAATTTATACAATAATTAATAGATATAGATATATTACTGAGGTAATTACTTGTTATTGTTGCACTATCTCTTTAAGTCTTGATGGACATCCCGTGTGCTCTATTATATTAATGACGTCGTATATTTACGTTACAGCTACGCATATTATGAGAATATTATAAAATAGTATGTGTACATAGTAAACTTATCTATACATAAAATAAAATTGTAACCTAGCTGAATCTGTACATACATATTCGTACATTCAATATTTTTTGGAAAATTTGATTGAAATAAACATTATTATCGATACAGAGACCGAATCTATAGTATTTAGAATTTTTGTCTGTTTGTCCATCTGTTACCGTATCACAGAAAAACCACTGGAGGGATTTTGATGAAATTTGGTATGGTTATAGCCGGTTATCCGGGTCAACATATACGATACTTTTTACCGCGGGGAAAATATCTCATTTCTGAGAAAAAAATACAAAAACTGCAATGTAAGAGTATACTAATATTTAAAACCTACGAATTTGGTTTTTGGTCATCTGAACGCAGGCGGAGCCGCGGGCAATGCTGGTAAATAATAAAAACAAAGTTTAAAAAACACCTGTATATATTATATTTTTTAAAGTGTATTCTAGTAGGTGCATTGATGTTTGAGCTACTTACTACTTATTGTTTTTATTGCGGAAAAAAAATGTCTGATATCATATGTCTATAATTTAATTTGAATTCTTTGAATTGGATTCTCACTATTGGAACTACTTATGTAATTATATATGTATAAAACGCTCGGCTGCGTGATGCGTCCCTTGGTGAGCGGACTTTTTTCACGATTTCATGAGTTTTTTTTGCGCACAATCCAAATTCTATTACTAAAATAAAAGTAGCATACGTTACTCCTTATAACATCAGCTATCTACCGATGAAAGTCCCGTCAAAATCGGTCCAGCAGTTTCGGAGATTAGCCGGAATCGACAGTTTTTTTTTATTTATTTTTTTCTTATATCTACCGTATATACTTTTGTATGCATTTAGTTAAAAAATATTATTTTGACATTACAAATCTCTATTTTAACCATAGTAAGTTATTTTTTTATCACTCAATATTTCTGGAAACCAGGCCGGAGTATACGACGCCAACCGAGTCCTCGGAGTGACCACCCTGGACGTGGTCCGCGCAGCGGCCTTTATCGGAGAAATTAACGGTGTGGACCCCCAGTCTGTCACCATCCCCGTCATCGGTGGACACTCCGGGGTGACCATCATCCCCGTGCTGAGCCAGAGCAAGCCCGCTGTGAAGCTGACTGACCAGGCCAAGATTGATGCTTTGACTCAGAGGATTCAAGAGGCTGGTACTGAGGTATGGTTGTTTGTTTGGTGGTTTAATTTTTTTTTTTGATTTGTAGGTTTGATGAAAATAATTGTGTTGCCCTTTAATATATGTATTCAACCCTTTTCAATGTCCCATTGCTGGACACGAGCATCCCTTTAGTGCGAGGAGGATCAGGCCATAGTCCACACATGGTTCTCTCAGGCATACAGGTTTCCTCACGATGTTTTCCTTCACCGTAAGACATAATTTTTAGGATTCTGTACATCAAGAGGAAATAAAGGTCCCTAATAGAGTCACTTCGTTGTTTGTCTGTCTGTCTGCCAGAAATCCATAGAAGTATCAAGTTGGATCCTTAATAAACCCTTCCTAGGGTTCTGTGAAAAAAAACTCAACGTAATCACAAGATACAGCCGCTTTGACGCTCGCTAGGGAACTTCACTACATAGTATAAAACAAAGTCGCTTCCCGCTGTCTGTCTGTCCCTATGTATGCTTAGATCTTTAAAACTACGCAACGGATTTTGATGCGGTTTTTTAATAGATAGAGTGATTCAAGAGGAAGGTTTATTTGTATAATACACACATATTATAGTACAGAAAAGCCGAGAAATTCAAAGATTTGTATTTCATACTAACCGTTAAAACTTACCTAGGAACGAACCCGAGCGAAGCGAAGGTGAGTCGCTAGTACATACAACATTTATTACTATACAGTATTTATGTACTGCAGGTGGTGAAGGCGAAGGCGGGCGGCGGCTCCGCCACGCTGTCCATGGCGTACGCGGGCGCGCGCCTCGTGGGCTCCGTGCTTAAGGGACTTAATGTGAGTTTGTACTTACACTCTTACGATTTATTGTTTTTAAAATAAGGTTATTTTTATTCTATGGTTATATTCAACCTATGGTTATTATTAATCAATGGTTATTTTTATTCTATGGTTATTTTTAACCACAGTTATTTTTATTTAACCTATGGTTCCGCTGCAGATACTGTGTTTCAAATATATGTACTGCTGTATGAAGTGTTAAGCAAATATCTGGTTGTACTTTTTGGAAAATAAGAATTTATTATTGTCAATTTTTTTTTTCTTAAAATATATTTTTTATAAAATAATCTGTTAAAAATGTGAAAGGTTCTATGTGTTTGGTACTCTTTCATGCTGGTATGGCTGGGAGGGCTTTGGATGTTGGGTACACAGATAGATGGCTAAGGAGTCACAAGTAGGCTATGTTTAGTCGCTCATTATGTATAATGTTTCTGCAAAAAAAATAAAAAAAAAATTTACATAACAATACATTTAATAAAGGAAAAACAATGAAATTCCATTTAAAAGATATAAATATACTTAATTGTATTTCTTCAAACGAAAAAACAATCATAAAGCCTGAATAACTCAAAAATGTAAGCAACAAGTAATTTACCAATAATGTTTCTTTCCAGGGTGAATCCAATGTAGTAGAATGTGCGTACATCAAGTCAGACCTCACCGAGGCCTCATACTTTGCAAACCCGGTTGTCCTAGGCAAGAATGGAGTGGAGAAGAACCTTGGCTTTGGAACCCTCAACGATTATGAGAAGAAGCTTCTCAAAGCAGCTATCCCTGAACTGCAGAAGAACATCAAGACTGGTGAAGAATTCGCCAAGAAATCCTAAATAGGGAAAACTAGATCCAATAGGGCCAAACCCATGTAGACAATTTCAACCGATACACGAACGATTGTGTTATTATGTAATAATTTGTGTGAATCTGAATCATAAAATTAAATTTAAGAATCAATAAAATACTCTTAAGAGTAAGTGTGAATGTGGCAAAGGAAATTTTATTTTATTGCATTTTTTGTTGGTAATTTATTATGTCAATTTGTGATACGAGCGAGGCACGTGACAGCTGTGCGACACCATGTTAATAGATTTTAAATGATTTTAATGTTTTGTTTTATTTCTCCTAAATCCAAAATAAATATGTTGGGACACACAGCGCCATCTAGTTCCATGGTAAGCTACGAGGCCTGTGTTATGAATACCAGATAGTTGATTCTACACATATATAACTTTAAATACATACATATTATAAAAATAAACACCCATGACTGGAGTACAAATATCCGTGCTCATCACACATATGAATGCCCCCAGCGGGACTCGAACCCGCGACCGCTGGCACAGCCACTTCAAACTGAACCAAACGTGTCGTTAAAAAGACAGTAATTGTAGAAATAATAAGAGATTGTAGTAATGTATGTGGTAAAATCTTCATTTTTTGAAACTCGTATTATTTGTCCAGTGGCTATCGAGTACCGTTTGGATATAAATTACTCCGGCATATCGCGTCGAATGGAGTCTACGTTATATAAACCAGGACAATGACCGGTAATATATGGATAGTCTTGAATTTTTAAGTTTTGTTCAAGCCGGTTCAAAAGATTTTGGCCCGTATGTTATGAGGTACTTTCGATTATGATCAGGTTTTAATTGTTCTTTTATATTAACGGACTTCCAAAAAGGAGGAGGTTCTCATTAACTAAGTAAAATCTCGAGGAAAAAATATACATATGTTACTATTTTATTATAGTTAATGTTTAGGCATAATAATAGACATAGCACTTTCATCTTCTATAGATGTTTCTCGAAATTTTACTTTAAAGTAAAATTATTTAAAACAAAATTTAGTCTGAAGAGATCTGGCACAATATGAACTAGGCGGCCTTCCTCATTGCTAAGGGAGCAATCTTTTCCAGGAACAGAACTGTAAGGGTTAGAGAATAAACGTTAAAATTGAAGAGATGCATTCGCTTAAACATAACCTTAATTTATTTAAAAGATATATCAGAAATAAATTATGTCCAATATAATTTTTAAAATGTCCGTTTGTTTACTTGTTTCATGGTCACAGCCCCTCAAAGTGAATGAAGACATAAATATTTTTTATTAAACAGACTTCATACTTTTTTTTGAGGTTGGTTATTTAGAATATGAACTAAAAAAACTCATATTTGCATCACTCTTAAAGAAACATCGAAACCTAATGTGGAATTTTTCGCGCATTAAAAACAAAGAAGCTGCTCTTTGAAGTTTGGTAATTATAGATTAAAAATAACTAATCATTAATATGTTAGTTTTTATAGTGGCAACTTACTAAAGGTATATATTACATTTACATTATTGTATTGTTACAATATAATATCTTTCTATAACACAATATTTCAATACAAGATACGCACAAATAGACACCAGTGTCTACACAATTTGTTTATATCCATATCTTCTGAAATGCGCATCACATTTCTAGACTCACTATTTCTGATACGAATTCAAAGATTGCAAGAATTCACATAACTTTCTATACACACGTAAGTGAGTTTCATTTTCGTAGAACTCGATATATATTTCCATCATAAGAAGCACTAAATAAGCTGAGAACACTGTAACTCCGGTCCAGGAGCGGTTTTTAGGGTTTGAAAAGCTTATTCGCGTGCTTTCCGTCATTTTTTCAAGTTGGCGCTTATTCAAATGTATTTTTAACTCTGTAACATTCTGTTTTATTATATTATACAGCAATAGTAATTTTTAACTTCATTTTCTATGTACTACCAGTATCAATAATTTATATTTTGAAAAACATGACTTTAATAATATTTTAGTTATCTATACATAAAATAAAATTCTAACAGTCGAATCTGTACATTAAATATTTTTTGGAAAATCTTATTCTAAATTGTTATTATTATCGATACAGGGGCCTAATCTAGTTTTTAAAAATTTTGTGTTTGTCTGTCTGAGAACGCATCTCGAGAAAACCACTGGAGACATTTTGATGAAATTTGGTGCGATAATAGCTAGTTATCCGGGTCAACATATAGGATACTTTTTCTCAAATATAAATATCTCTGAGAAATCTATACTAAACATTAAAACCCGAGCGGAGCGAGGGTGAGTCGCTAGTAACCAATGTTATCCAAGTGTAGTAATGGTATCCGCGACTTCCGTTTCAGTAAACATGGTAAACACGGTAATAGTACCGCCTGAAGTTTATACCATTGGGTCTCAACACGAACCTTTAAAATCAGCTCAAACAAATGCCAATAGATGGCGCTATTTATATCGAGTTGGTATTTATATAACATATAAAATAAGGTTGGGATCCTTTTTTCACTGTACATCATAATGTAAAATGCTTTGGTTTTGAAAAATACTTTGCGGAAAATGAAATAATGCATTCTTAAATTAAAATTCTGTAATTTTGCTGATGATTGAAAAATCTACCATGGGTTAGTAATATTGTACTGCATATAGATGGAGCTGTTTACATTTTGTGAGTTGTCCACAAAATTTTGCTAAAAACGGCTAGTAATTGATTGTTTTATTAATTATAAGGCAACTCGTATTTATAAAATAAAATAGTTTGATAGTTTTCAGGACAACGCTATCTATCCATCGTATATAATAAGAGGATAGTATGTACATGGAATCTCATCACGAATAAAGAAATGTTAGTTCATATAAATGCCAATAGATGGCATTATATGTATCCATTTGCTAGTGAAGATTGTGTAAAATTACCAAAAGTTAAAAAATAGATTCTAAAAAGGTATAATCATAGTTAAAAAAAAATATCCTGTGAAAATAAAACTACAAACTACTGACCATACTATCCTGTAAACGGAAGCTGTAAAGTATAAAACATAAATAAAACACGAGACAGATTTGCATCTTATTTATTGATCTGTCCTCCCAAAACTTTGTTTCTGCTTATGATCGGACTTACAGGATTATCTTCTTTCAACTACTTAATACGTTACATTTTATAAAGAAATCACAATGTGAGGCGCCGCCGCCGGCCGGGAATTAATTTAATCAGTCGTTTTTACACAAAAATCCCATAATCAAATGCACTTTCGCGCTCCCACACTGATTTCCGCACAGCATCACAACACACGGACACACCATACAATATTATACATACAATTCTCATATAAAATCGGCATAAGGACAGCCAGAACCATTGTACGTATGAGGCGTCTGGACCGACGTTGGCGGGAGGGAGAGTGGGGAGGGAGGAGTGGGGAGAGAGGAGAGTGGGGTGAGGGCGGCGGCGGCGCGACCTCGGGCCTCACACTTCACACTTCATACCGACCTAACTATAAAATGAAAATCTCTATCGTACGTTACACTAACCTGTATAGTTACAAATGCACAGTATGTATACACATCGCGGGGGGACGCACGGGACGGCGGGGGAAAGGGGGGTACAACAAATAAATAACAATATTCACATCACACTCGGCCCGCACCCCTCCCCCAAGCACCCCCACCTCCCCCCACCCCGCACTCCCCCACAACGCCCCGCACTCCCCCACTCGCGCCTAATTACATTATATACATTTACATAATAAAAAATATGCATGATTCGCTTTCATAAAAAAAATATCGGGCATTGTCAGTTACAAAACCATGATCACATTATCGGAGTCCGTTTTAAAGCTAACAGAAATAACATCCCTGTCCCGTCCGTCGGGCGGCTCGTGTCCGGCGAGTCCGTTCATCCGGAATCCGTAAATCCGAGGGTTCACACACACTCACTCACTTAGTCATTAAATTGAACATGTATCGGTATCGCTCGCTTATGTGGTACATTCGTTGTGTCACGTCACGTCACGTCGCGGTCACGTTGCGGTCGCGTCACGCCGCGTCACGTCACTATCTCGGCGTAGTGCGGCGTATGACGCTCCGCCGCGGCGTTCGCGCGGGGCGCGCCGGCGCGCCGGCGGGGGGCGGCGGGGTGCGGCGTCAGTCCTCGTCGGACAGCGGCTCGTACTGCGCGGACATGAGCGGCGCGGGCTCGGGCTGGGCGGGCGGCAGCGGCGTGCTGCCCGCGCCGGCGCCCGTGCTCACGCCCACTACCGAACTGCTGCCGCTCACCGCTGTTGAGCCTGCAAACGGTTTATTATTTGATATATAGAAAATAAATACTCTAAAGTATAAAAATAACATCATTGCACTCACACATTCAAGATTTTAAAATTAACAAGAAAAAAAAACGATTTCAGAAATTTCGTACAGTCTTCTAAAAATAATGTAATTAAACTGTACTATTATAGTTGTTTTGTTAATAGAACAATCAAACTGGATTCTAAAATCTGAATCTGAGAGCTCCAACAAACAGTAAAACAACAACACCAAAAACAAACAACCAAACTGACCAACAGGCAACACAGAAACAGCCTAATTTAAAGTGAGCTTAAAATCTAAGATTATTCTGTATAATAATATATGTATGCTTGTTTTTTATGTAATATTTTTTAGTGCTTTATTGTCCAATAAATATCATTATTATGAACAAACTGACCGTCCGAGGCGGGCGTGGCCACGTTGAGCGCCGAGTACGGGTACGCGTAGGAGGTGGGGAAGGGCAGGGGCTTGGCGCGCTCGTCCGCGTCGTTGCGCATCACCTCCACGATGCGCGTGGTCACGTAGTCGTAGGCGGTGAGCACGCCGCCCACCGCGCTGTAGCGCCGTCCGCCCGCCCCCGCGCCGCCCACGCCCACGCTCGACCCGCTCGCGCTCGAACTGCGGCTGTGGGATTACAATTATGTTATCATATTGCATTACTAAATAATGTTAATAAATAATTGAATGCACTTATTAATAAGCTATCTGTATTAATATTATAAATATGAAAGTTTGTGAGTATGGATGTTTGTTACTCAATCACGCCAAAACGGCTGAACGGATCTGGATGAAATTTGGCACAGAGATAGATTATGTACGGTTCCCGAGGGAAAGGTTTATTTTTGTTTTTAAAAATTAAATTATAAATTACAGTAATTGAAATAATTACATACATAACTGTTATTATATATTAGTTTTAGTGCTAAAAAAATCATGGTAGTATACAAAAATGGTCTTACATAAGTTTTATTTGGAAATTATTAATCGGCAAATTTTAAAAATATTTAAGTTTCAACTCTAGCCTATATTACCGTATTCATTATCATCATTTTTGCGATATATTTATTTATCACTTTCATTACAAAGCTTTAACTAAACAAATGAACGAACCGTCATCTCACGTCGGATCTCCTACTACATTCCCACCAAACACTCACCCAGTACAGTGGTTGTCAGGCGGCGACACGGGCTCGAGGTAGGGCGCGTGTTTGGGCGGGTCGCGGCGCCACTCGTCGCCGTCGCCGCCCGCGCCCGCGACCGCGCCGCCCGCCCCGCCGCTGGCGGGGTACGAGTCAGGTGTGGACACCGCGAAGCGGTTGCTGGGGAAGGTAATAAACAATAATTAATTTCTTAGATTTATGCGAATATTTAATATTATACGAAAAAATATTTTTTTTTCCAGTTTTACAATAAATGTATTTTTATTAAAAATTATAATTTTTATTGTTAAAAGTGCTGAATTTTAAAACAAAAAAAATATTTTTCGCGTACACCGAGGATTTAAAATCGTATGTACTTTCAACTGTTCCATCAGACAAAATAGTTTATTCCTTTTATATAAAGACAAAAAAATTGTATTATTGTGTTGAATTTCCGTATCATGGAATTTATCATATAGGGTAGTTGTATGCAATTACATATGCTTAAATTATACATGTCAATATCTATACATATAATAAAATTGTAACTAAGCCGAATCTGTACATTTAATATTTTTTGGAAAATCTTATTGAAATAGACATTATTATCGATACAGAAGCCGAATCTATAGTTTTTAGAATTTTTGTCTGTCTGTCTGTTACCGCATCACGAAAAAACCACTGGACAGATTTTGATGAAATTTGGTATGGTGATAGCTGGTCATCCGAGTCAAGTCTATTTACCGCGGGAAAATATCTTATTTCTGAGAAAAAATACAAAAACTGCATTGTAAGAGTATACTAATATGTAAAACCTAAGAATTTGCTTTTTAGTCATTTGAATGCGGACGGAGCCGCGGGCAATGCTAGTATAATATAATCCCTAATAAATAAAAAATAAAAAACTAGAAAAACAATTTTAAAAACTTACTTATGATGCATGAGCGAGTTAGTGTTCGGACTGTTGAAGTCCCGAACAATAATCTTGGACGCGAGTTCCCCAAGTTTGATGCTCGTCTTATGCGTGATGTTGTCGTCGCGATCGCGGTCACGGTCACGTTCCCGTTCACGGTCACGCTCGCGGTCACGGTCACGTTCGGCTTCACGCTCGCGGTCACGTTCCCGTTCACGCTCACGTTCACGCGAGATCTCGATCGATATCACGCGGTCAGGCTGTTGCTGGACGGGTTCGCCTTCGCGTATTATCTTCTAGGACCAACCGTAAAATCGTATTAGTAAATTGTCAACTGCCAGTCAACATTATTATTATTATATTTTTTAAACTAATCTATACTACATTTTTTAAACTAATCTATAATATATAATATCTTCTTGTATTAAAAAAAAAGATCATTAGTGAATTACCAAAAAAGAGATGAAAAAAAATTATATAAAAAATAATAAAAAATATATAAAAAAACACTAAATTTAAAATTCGATTACTTTTTTTAATTAAACTAATTAAAAAAAAAATTAAAAAAACTATCAATCAATAATGAAACAATTAATCACTAATTATAAAACAATCACTCACAGGCGGAAATCTCTGAGTCTGATCACACGTCTGATTGATCTGGTGTGTGATGATCGCGTTGATCAATGAGGCGGCGGTGAGCTTGCTGCTGTCGCCCGCCCGCCGCTCGGCGCCGCCCGCCCCCGCGCCGCCCGCCCCCGCGCCCGCGCCGCCCGCCCCCGCGCCGCCGCCCGCCCCCGCGCTCACCGTCGATATAGACCCTGCGACGGTCGCCGCGACACTGCTTACTGGTGTTCTTCTATGTACATACATTTAATTATTAATTACTAGCGTAACTTATTTTGGTTTCGTTCATAATATTATATACATTATCGGTCTAGCTGTTTCAGCGTGAAGAAGTAACAAACATACAAACTTACGCATTTATAATAGTAATATGATAATTATTTTATTAATAATCGAATTTAATAAGAGGCGGTTAAAAGACTTTGATGATTTTTTTTTACAAAATTACACCAGGGTATGTATTGGCATTAATAATATATAAAAATCCCTAGATCAATAAATCGATACGATCTTTTTAACAATATAGTCCGAGAGCCAAACACATTTTCACAAACCTTTCCAAGATTAACCCAAAAACTGAATTACATGGCTAACATCATTATAAACAAATTTAAAAAGCAAACATACCCATCTTTCCTTTCAATAGTGTGCACCCGCTTGCCGGCCGGGCTGTAGGCGGAGGCGCCCACGCTGCCCACGCTGCCCACGCTGCCCACACTGCCCACGCTGCCCACGCTACCTGCTGATCTACGTTCTTCGTTTTGCTGTAATTTTTCATAATAAATGTAAAAAAAAAATTAAAAGAAGCTATAGTAAACGGATAAATGTGCGAGTAACCTTTATAAGGGTTTATAATTGTTTCACGGAACCCTAATCACTACAGTAATACTAATTTGAATCAAGTAAGGGTTCCATTTCATTTTTCTCACGGAACCCTTAAACCCTTTTTTTGAAAATCTTATTACATTAAAACGAATCAAAACTGTCTTCTTTCAAACAGACTTTAAGTTATTTTTAACCAAAATTTTATTTTCAAATATCACCCAACTCACCTGCGCATGCTGTATGTTATGCCGCTCGATCATCCCGTGCGGGTGCGTTGGGTGCTGCGGGTGCTGCGGGTGAGGGTGCTGCGGGAGCTGCTGATGCTGGTGCTGCGGGTGCTGCTGGTGCTGCTGGTGCTGCTGATGCTGCATGAGAAGCGGACGCGGCTCTATAACGAAGTGGCGTTCTGGTATCGGCACTGTAAACCGCTCCCGACTGTGCATACTGGAAAAAAAATTATACTGTTACAAAAAAAATACATTTAAATAAGTGATTTGGTCTGATTTTAAAGTGGTAAAAATATATAACATTATTTCCATAATTTATTTCGTTTCGTTTTTTGTAAATGTGTTAAACCTAGATACTGTAAAAGAAATTGCCAACTTTGAGTTTTAACTATTAAATATCATGTAATTACTATTAAATGTACCTTTTTTTAACATTCAATTGATTAAAGTGGGCCGTCCTCCAATACAAGGAAGATCAGACTATAGTCCACCACGCTGGCCGAGTGCGAGCGGACTGAGCATGTCTTACGAAAACTTGCTAGGTTCTCTCAGACATGCAGGTTTAACGATGTTTTCCCCCACCGTACGACAAGTGGTAATCATGTTGAAAATGATTCGCACACAAAATACCAGACCCGGGATTTGTTAACGCTTCCCTCGGTTTCCCAAGTGAGCGCGTTACCACTGGGCTACCAATGTTAAATATATTAATACTGAATTATTGAAATTACCCATCTCTCGGTTGCTGCGGTGGCGCACGTCTGTCGTTGCTCGCATATTGCGCGTACTTTTGCGACATTGCAAACTCCCGGGAACCCCTTAAATTCAAAAAAAAAATATATTAACAACAATTATTATATACTTTCTTAGACTTACGCGAATATTAAATAAAATTATCTTTTCCGATTATTTCGGAAGAGGCTGTCCCGTGACCATGATTCCTGTAAAGCGTTCGAAACGTCGGGAACCAAAAATTAAAATAAATCCGCGAAATAATCCGAAAAGATAGTTTTATTTAAAACAATTATTATAATAATTTTAATGAAAAAAAACTTAATTAGCAACTGTTTAGTTTGTGACAGGTTTCGAGATAGGGCTCATTTGATTGGTATTGATGAGTCTAAGTCAAATAATAAAAAAGTATATATACGTAAAATATTCGCATAAATATAACAAACAATTTAAAAATAAGGGTGCTTTTGCATCATACAATTGAATACTAAAAACAAGGTTAATCTCACTTAGACTAGCAATCTGCGGAGGGACTCGAACCCAGAACCTCTGGATCTACAACCGTACATGCCGCCACTAGACCACTGAGTGAGGCAGTTACCAAAACACGCATGTTCTATATCACGAGTTGGTGGTGCTGCTGATGCGACGGGTGCATCGGTTGCAATGGGTGCACGCTCAGGGCTGCCAGATCGTATAATTGAATACGAAAATTGAAAAATATGGTTATATTATGTCTATTACATTTTAAGTTATTACGTATTTTTATAAAAAAGTTTAATTCGTCACAGACTATTTCTCAACAGTTTTGTTAATTTGTATAATAAAATTTGATTTGGTATAATGTCAGTGACCCAACGGTATAAAATGAGTTAGCTCTACTGGCAGCAGTTATCTCTGGCAGCCCTGGCTACACTATTATATTGGATGCACTATTACATATAAAAATATACATACTTGATATCATGCATCTGCCCGTGCCCGTGGTGCTGCTGGTGTTGCTGGTGCGACGGGTGCTGCGGGTGCGACGGGTGCTGCGGGTGCTGCGGGTGCGACGGGTGCGATGGGTGCTGGTGGTGGTCGGGCGAGGGCTCGGGGTCGCGCGCGCGCGGCACTGGCAGCGCGGGCGCCGCCGACGCCGCGTTCACTAGCGATGTGAATGCTTCGTGGCCTGCGGGTGAGAAACGTTTCTTTTATAATTTAGTACGAATATTTTCAAGAAGATGGAACAATGACTTGATTAAAGTTACCAGAAACCCACTGAATGCGGATGACTTAATATTGAATATCGGAAGTATCAGCAGTAGACCTTCTTCGATGAAGATGATTTTCAACAATTTTTTGATAATTATTATAAACACGATATTAATTTAATAATGAGTAATAATAAAATAAATAGCTACACGTCATATCCTGCACTCCTTTGTGTAAAAATAGTTTATGTTTTCCGTTATTTAATCTTCAGATTTTTACACATACTTAAATATTACTACTAGTATAGTATTATATGATCTGAAATTACTATTTATATTAATCAAATTAAAATTCAATTCAATTTTTAAAAAAGACGTAAATATAATTAAAAGAAAGAACCACTCACCTGGCGGCGGGTGTTGATGCGAGTACGCGTGCGTATTGTGCCGCTGTATAACTGACACCGCATCCCTGTCCCTCCTGATCTGGTGCTGCGACGGGTGCTGATGCTGCGACGGGTGCTGGTGCTGCGGGTGCGGGTGCTGCGGGTGAGGGTGCTGCGGGTGCGGCTCGCGGTCGCGGCGGGTGCCGCCGTGCATTTGCTGCGACGTGATGAAGTCCGTCAGCATTATCTGCCTGCGTTCCAGACCGGTGTAGGGACCGCGGGATACTGCTGCTGTTGCCTGTAAGAAATAATATTTTGTTTATTTACATATATAAAAATGCTTGTATTTGTATATACTGTTAGTATTTGTATGTGTACAGCTTTGAATTACATTAATTATGATCTAGACTCTATAGTATACTACAAACAAATAGGCCCTTAGGGATGCACTCGGACAAAGCTAGAATAAGTCATTAGTTACATTATATTATGAAATATATAAATATAGCAATATCTCACAAGAACAAAATTATTTTATTAAGAATTATTACGCCACAGATAAACTAAATAAACAAACTTAAATGAACAAATATCTTACCGTCGAATACGAAGGAGACTGTGGTCTTGGCTGATTACTTGTGCCATAATACGCGCCACCTGGACTTCTTCGCCTGTGATAGTCCATGTTTCTCTTCTCCGGGAGATGGTGAGGTCCATGTACGGGGGTTCCCGCTGTGATGGACCCGGTCTTCGTATCTGACGGGATCCGTTCAAATCTGGACTCGACTGGAGTCCCGAGGGTTATAGATCCCTTGGGATTGGACAGTTTGATGGCCGGTCGGGGGGACGCGACGGGTTTCGGTTTGCTGTTGGTCGGCGATTCCCGCTCCTGCTGTGTGCGGTAGAACGCATATTCCGCGTTACGGTGTTGCTGTTGATAAAATCGTTTGTTAGTTTTGAAATATAGTCATTGATATATGTAGGTTTAGAAGAATAGGTAAGTGAAAATATTCATTTTACTGGCAGTTTTAGATTAAATTCTCTTTAAGCGGGTATCAAACACAAGAATTCTACCGTATTAAAATATGCCAGAACTTTTACCCTTTTTTCCTTTAAATTATTTTAACACAAAAAACAAATCGTTGATCAATTAAATTACATATTATCACTACATTTTGATAATTAATTACAAAATAATTCCTATAAAATTAGAGAATATTAAAACTTACGGGCTTAGGCACGTCATGTCTGGGCCTTTTCACACTCAAGTCTAGCAGCGGCTCCGCTGTGTGGGCGGAGTGGTGGCCCGAGTGGGTGGAGTGGGGGGTGGAGTGGGGGTTGGGGGGTCGGGGTTCGATGTGCAGTAACATAACGTCCTTGTCCGGCGGGATTGGCGTGATGGTTGCCCCTCGGTGCGGAGAGCGAGGAGAGTGGGGAGAGTTGGCGTGCCCCGCCCCACTCACGACTGTTAGAGTTGCTAGGGACTCGTGTGTCGATACCTTTATGACAATAATTATAATATTTGTTCATATTAATGATACAAATCTACATATATTTACTTTATAATAATAAAGAGTTAAAGTTTGTAAGTTTGAGTTTGTAGAAGAGTAATCTCTGAAACTATTGTTCTAATTCTGAAAATTCTAAAGTGTTTACGTCAGAAATAATAGTAGTTTTTTTCATAATGACTTAAAATTGCATAATTGCTTTAATTAAAGTCGAAAAAATTGGTTGTTGAGTTGCTTTAACGGCGTGCACTTCGTAAAAGTTTTTAAAGAAAACAATAAAATTTATGGCAAAATAACACCTCAGGTCACATCCAAGGGTAAAGAGGTTAAGGTGATAGTTATGTATATATAAATCTAAGATATTATTAATTAATAAAACAATGTTGTGTATAAAACTAACTAAACTAACCTTAGGTGGCTGGTGGTGCATCTGTGGTAAGGGCGGAGGTCGTGAGTTCTTCATTAAGCTCACTTCTATCATGTTAAGGACCACGTCCCGCACCGTCAGCTGCGCCCCCGGGCCCGACCCGGACACGGGCCCCGACCCCAGCCCCGGCCCCGACCCCGGCCCCGACCCCGACCCCTGGCCAGACCCCGGCGCCGACCCGGAACCCGACCCCATCGACCCCAGGTTTATACTGGGCGCGCTGGGAGTCGAACTCGGTACTGGGATTGGAGTTGGAGCTACCGTCTGTAAACATAATTTTAATATGTAGTATATAATTTACATTCATACATATTATGAGGTTGAAGATAATATTTTCTTTGTTTGAAAGCACTAATCTCACTAGCTATTAACTAATCTGATACCCGATTAAAAAAATGTATGTTTGATCACATATTATCACAAACAGATATTCAAAATTACATTTCAATAATAATTATATAAAAATATAAACTATATCTATCCCATAAATCTATACAGTAATAATAAAAAAAGAAAATAAAAACCAACGATATAAAAACATACCTTCGCACTGGGCGCATCATTCTCTTCATCTGCCGTTTCCGTTGCAGACGAGTCGTACTCATCCCGCCTGTGCCTCCGGGGGGCCACGGCGTCCGTTCTCGGCCCGGGCAAGGGCGGAGGCCTGGGCGATTCCGCACTAGCCGTATCCGTGTCCCCTGAACTGAGTATACTATCATCCGTATCACTACCTCTCGTAGGCTGTTGTTCACTCAACAATGTGTCTAATTGCAGTTTTTTCCTGTACGTAAAGTAGAATGCTTTGAGGCTAGCAGGGGTTCTTCCACTCGCGGTCGACATACGTTCCCAAGCGGTTCCATGTTCCCGCAATAGTGTACGGAACCTCACGGCCTCGTCCTCGGTAGGCTCGGGGGCGGAACCCCCCTCCCCTATCGTGTCTAACCGTCGAGTTATCCGTTTGAAACACGTTAAGCAACACTTACTGAGGTCACTTGGGATTTCTGTTGAGAGATAAATTGTGAAAGACAACTTTGAGAAATGTTTTTCTTATCGGCAATAAAATATATTAATAAGTATATTCTATAGATTGTAAGTAAATTACCTAGATGACAATAAAACGAGAGAATATAATAATGGCTTTTCATACTTTAATAGGACGATAATAAATAAAGGAGGCTGTTGCTATTCGTCCCATAATTGGATGAATAAAAAATATATTATTCGTCTGGCTATTGTTTTTTTTTTCGGTTTGTATGAATATTTACCACTTATTTGTTTACTAATCTAAAATAAGTGATTTTTTGGTGCAGGAGTTAGAAGTACCGAGCTGGAATCTTATTCTTTTAAATCCTAATGATTTTTAAGTTCAAAAGTTTTTAATGTTAAAAAAATATTTTTTGGTGCAGGAGTAAAAAAAACCTTAACCTACCGAGCTGAAACGAGCTATTTATTCTAATTACTTATTTATTAGTCTATTCGTCCTTCCTTACAATTTATATATTTTAGCTATGACGAATAATTATTTTTATTCGTCCTATTTTTAAGGACGAATAGACACTCCGTATAAGAATTGTAAAAAAATAACATTTTAACTTACGGAACTCATCCATTAAAGGCCTCTTCAACTCTTGTGGCAGATCGTGCCAGCGTGGCGGTAGATGCCTCAATCTCTTTGCTCTGGGCCCAGCGCACGAAGGCACCGTACATCTACTCCGTCTCGCCCTGACACATCTACAGTGACAAGCTTCGCAGACCCTCGCACCGGTTATTGAAGGGTCCAAGCCATACTGGACAGCCCTTGAAGGAGCTACCGCTCGAGTTGCTCCCGTTGCTGAGCACACAGCGCACGTACTCGTCGTGATATTGGTTGGCGTTGAAGGTGGAACGATTGTGGAGGGGGTACTCGTTATTTCTGTTAACGCTGTAATATTGAGAATAAACTTTCCATATAACTTCAGTAGCGCTAAATTGTTAATGTTTTAAGTGATGTTTGACTATATTCCAGAATATTTGACATTTTTTGGCCGATTTTATTTATTTATTTTATTTATTAATCATTCTGAAACATACAGTTTATAATTAATAAAATTTAGTTAAACACTTCTAAACAAAAATCTTAAGCCAATAAATTTTCCAGTAAAAACATAAACGAAGTAAACTTAAAATTAGCAGCAACAAATCGAACAATAAGCAAGAATACTAAACGTTAACACAATTTATGTTTTTTTAAATAGGTGAGCGAATTTTTTAAATCCAACATTGAATAAGTCGATATTACGATATTGCTTATTATACATATTGCAGGATCTTACAATAAATGAATTGTCACAATACTTTGTTCTGGAGACTGCGGATAATTATTAGATATATGTATATTTATATGATTATATATTTATTTCATCATGTCGAAAAAAAGTTTTCATTTAACAAGCCCATAAAATACAGAGCTTGCCTAATTTTATAATAATATCCGACTATATTTCACCTCTAATCAATATTTTATGTTAATTAATCAAATTAAACGTAATAATTCGCAAAAATATAATCCAAATGACCACAAATAAATTCATCGGCAACACAATTAAGCCGCTATCAAATCCGTATTGCGCTAAACAATTAAACATTCAACCTTAAATCAGAACAGTAATTCCTGTATCAGAGCGCATCAGACGGATGCAATATTCAGGCCCACGATGGGCGCCAATTTGCAAAGCGTAGCAGATTAGGGGCGGGGTCTCATAATCCGACATACATTATTTAACGCTCTGTTCAACTGTTAACTATTATCGCTTAGTATCACTTTAAGTTTATTTGGGCCAAACAAATCATACGAGTTTGCATTTTTAATGACAAGAGCTATCAGTTTCCATGTTATTTAACCACAAAACATACATATAAGACAAAACACGTAAGAGATAGATTGCTTCATTACTAGTTTCAATTACACAAAATACAAAAGGTGAGTCAAATAATTATTTCTTCCATTTTGAATCCCATTTTTAATTTTTAAGTCCCTTGGCCATCATTGCTGTTAAGCATTCGAAACGTCGGAAATCAAAAATCAAAATGAACCAGCGCAAAAATCCGAAAAGATAGGTTTTATTTTAAATGTCAAATATTCACGAAAATGTAAAAAATATATTATCTTCTCTCATAACAAATTAACTGCAAGAGAAAACAAACAGTTACCAAACACCGTTATAATTTCTCTGCGTGGATATTACTGCTCCGTTAGACAGCTAACGAAGAGTTTTAGAACTTACAAACTGTTAAATGTATTTCCTTCAGAATACAGCGTTCGGATTGCACTTACAAACTGCAAGGTTGGCTTTGATTATTATCAGAGGTATTTAATAGAAGAACATTACTCATATTTCCAACATCGATGAGACAGTTGTTGTAAACATAAAATTTAGAGTAGCATCGTGTATGACTAATGGAAAATTGTCAAAAGATATAGACTAAGCATAAGTCTTTATGAAATTAAAAAACCTTAAGGATTTAAGAGATAATTCTGAGCAAACAGAGTAAAAATAAATTAGCGTTTAAAAACATTCGTGGAAAACTCCTGCTATTTGTTATTTCTGCGAACTTTAAAATTACCATTAAAATAAAGATTTTGCTATCCCAAAAATTCTTGCAACCTTCTACACAAAATGAATTTATTTTAAATAATAAATAATATATTTCAAAATATTCTTTAGTTATGAGATTATAAATATTTAAATACGTAAGTGTAAAGCCATTATTTAGATATAGAAAAAGAGAATTAGAAAGAAGTTAATTAAAATAAATAGTCTCTAATCACAGAAAAAGAACGAAGAAGAAGGCAGAAATGAATAAGTATAAAAAATTTGATATAATCTTTTAAAATACAGCAGTTAAAACAGATGAAAACGTAAAACCAAATTTTGTACAACAAATATACGTAAAAGGCCGTTCCAGCTAAATCCGAGCTCTGTCGATTAATCCACCAATTACTGATATTTGCACAAGAACTAATTGGATCCGACTCCACGATTTATTCTGTGTAATTAAACTCAGCATAATTCGGCATTCATTAGCGGTGGAAGGAGTGGCGCCCAGCGTGGGACTCGATCTATGTTATTTCATAAATAACAAAATTTTCTAAAATTAAATAACCTATTGATTTTGTAAAATTGCGCCTTGTGCTCTAGAGAATATAATCTCAACACATTACAACAAATATATTACAACTTTACTCTGTCTTTACTCCGTCACTTTTGATGACAAATCAATTCATTAGTAATAATTTAGGGTAATATAGGTCTAATTGTATTCTTACTGTTTTCGATTTTTTGTATACGACTGTTTTTACCTAAATAAATAAATAAAAAAACAAAAAAAAACAAAAAACTTTAGGTCTTTATGAAATAACTAGGAAAGTTAATAAAACCTAACGTAAAAATTAACAAAAATCGTCAGAATATACAGCTTTTAGCTTCGACTGTTTGAACATTAAACATACAAAGATAAATAAACAAAATCAAAATTACAAGCAATCACTCTAGTACCCTGCAATATCACGTCAGAAACGATTTGGGTATTGCGTGTCGCGTGTTTGCCGTGATACCAAGCGTGACATTTTAACGAGCTGACAACCGTATTTGGTCAGCAAACATAAGGGAGACATCTTGCAGATTAAACGAGCACGGGCGGGATGCTATAGTGTATAAATTGATTTGGATTGCGATAACATGTTATATAGTTAACAAATTACACGAAAGTTTTATTGTTTTTAATTTTACATTTAAAGACTTTATATAAAAATTAAATATTTAGTACAATAAATGATATGAAAAGCGATTGTTTAGATTTTTTCTTATTATCATAACTATTTTATTAAATATATATTTAATAAATATAAATATTGACGTATGTATGTATGTATGTATATAATGTGAACAATTCAATTAACGTAAGCAAATGAAGTCATCTGAATTGTAATCACATTTAAAAGCTGTAATACGGGACAAAGCAAAGCAAACATCCCTTTTAAAGTGCGACATGGTTGATTTGGTATTCCGTGTGAACGTGGACGTCAGCGGAGCCAGGATTACGCGTGACGAGCATAAGCCTCGTACAGCGGACATGTTAATTTCATGATGGAATTGTCCAAAAATCGTGAAAAAATCCATTTGGAGAGCAAATCCCTTGATTATTGTGTGAACAGTTGGACTTTTACTAAGAGAAATATTTTTACTCGTAAATCTAAATAGTAATTTTACATTCGCAAATCCTGTACAGAAAAAAAAATCTCCTTGACATATTTTACATATTAATTGAATATAAAAAATGAAAGAAGAACTCTACCTTAGGGAAATAATAGCTTTGAATAATAAAGTAGTCATTGTAGAGAAAAACTCTTGGAATTTATACGACGATTGTTCGTTCCTTTTATTGACAAACTGACAATTCAATCTTTTTAGATTGATTATGACATACATAATTATTATTGTAACTATCCCTTAAAGAAATCGTGTAGCATTTTCTTTATAGTAACGCTGTATATTAGTATCGTGATAAATATTTTTTATTAATAATAGCAAATGAAAAACTAACTAAATGTTAAGGTATACCGAACTAAAATTTCAAAATTCATCTCGACAAAGAAAGATCATAAAAATTGTACGTGAGCCTAATTTCCCTAAAATCTCAAGTGGTCTAACAAAAGACAGTTATGAATACTAGTTAGATTCGGTGTTTAACTCTCAATGGGGCGGTGTTGAACAAGGTCCGCCGGCCCCGGGGACCTTTAAGTGAATTAAGTGTTTGCCGACTCACAGACACTCGCCGGTTATTATGCTGAGAGGAATATTTTATACGCCATTGTAGATTGAGATCCACAAAAAAATGTCAAGTGCTTTGTCGAGACCTCGTATTTACATTTTTTAAAATACGCCAACGAATCTGACAAATTAAAATATCGGGGCTGCGGTTTTTGTATGTTATTGAATAGACCACTTTTGTGATGAGATAGTGAACCCTATTACGGTCGTAACTAGCTCGTTAATTTCTGATCGCGTTTTAAAATTCATAAGACGTTTAACATTTTCGGTGCAAACTTTCGGGAGGCGGGATATATAAAACGGGTTTGGGCGGCATCGCGCTCAGTCTGCTTTGAGCGGCGGCGTGAGGATGTTGTCCTTGTATCGTGCCTGGCTCGGGCCGAGTCCGTGCGTGGCGCGCCCCGCGCCGCCGCCCGGGGCTCACAGGCCTGTCCCGAGGCGGGCGCGAGTTCCATCACCCCCCTCATCACCACCGCCGCCATCACCATCATCGACCACATCCAGCGAGCTCGACGTCGAGCGCATCGAGCCCAACGACCCACCGAAACGTCCCAACAACACTGTTTTGGACATCGCTTCCTGCGATGGGCCGGTCCGTTTCAGCCGCGTTCTGAACGTCGCTTGGCAAGAACCTACACCCGAGCGCGAGTGGCCGTGTCGTCATCGGAAAACCCAAGCGCGCGCCACTTTACACTACTACCCGTGCAAGACTTGTGGATCAAAGTTCCCGTCATATTACTTCGTCCACAAACACAGAAAGCGTTGTCATGCTGAAGAGACCACGACCGGCCAGAGCTCGCCGGAGCCGTCCACGTCGAGTGCGTGAACAGCTTGTTTAGTGCTAAACATATCAGTATTGGGAGTGATAGAGCGATCTTACGCGCCGTAGGTTAATGTGATTAGTTATGGTTGTTGAAATAAATGTTTATGAACTAATAACTAGCGTTTCATTTAAACTCAACTATAATCAGTTTTTGAAAGTTTCTAGTTGTAATTCAAAAGAAATAGTTATATTACGAAAGGATTAGCTTTTTGCTCACACAAATAACATAAAATTTTACGTCCTCTAAATATATGAGGATCTTAAGTCTATTTTGTAAATATTTTAATAATATAGTAATGAATCTCCTTGCAGTGTTTTACAACCAACTTTGTAAACAAATAAATCTTTTTATTCCTAGTTGTTGAGAGAAATCCGTAAAAACCTTTAAATGTTAAACGTCTAAGTTTAAAGTTAATAACAGAATAAGTGGACCCCTAGTTCTTTAATACTAAAATTTTACAGTGCATCACAAACAACTTTACAAACAAATAAATCTCTTAGATGTTGCGAGAAATCTGCAAAAGCCTTAAAGCCCACAAGATATATAGAATGAAGATAGGCTAATCCCAGCTCACCTGGCTCAGGCGTGGGCGGATGCTGTGTGGGCGTGGGCGGATGTGCCGGCTGGGGCGTGGGCGGCGCGCTGCCTGATGACGATGTAGACACCGCGCCACCACCACTCGACACCGATGTTGTCTAGTTTAACATATATTTATTTAGACTTCTTTTAAATTAGAAGAAACCCAAATGGATGATAATATTGTGTATCCTCAAATATTTTATTAAAAAAAATTTAAGACGTACAGTTTTAAGGTAGATTTCTTATAATTTATGTAAATGTAATTTTTTTAAAACAGTAACTAGAGATACTTTTAGAGATATGTATAATTAAATAAACAATTGTTCTTAAATTCATATTCATTATAATTGTTTCATAATATAAAAAAAACACGTCTAGCCCACTTCTTAACATTTTTGAAAATCCATAACAAATAGACAGACAAACACTTTAAAAAGATACCATAAATATTTTTTATACTATTATAACACTATTAACATTTAAAGTTATTACCCAAGTAATCAAATTCTACGCAAGAATAAACAAAAAAAATGTAACTCACAGTAATCACAGTGGGCGTACTCGTGGTAGCCGTTGCCGGTATGTCCGGTAGGGGCGGCAGCGGAGTCTCCGAGACGGGGGGCGTGGGCGCCGGCGGGGCAGGGCTCCCCACCGGGACACTCGGTACAGTCGGTACACTTAGAACACTTACACCATTCACACTAGTACTTATCAATACACTGGGCACATTTGATCCGGTACTGATGCCGGTGGAACCGCTGGAACAGCTCATGGAGCTTGGGCTTGGCACGCTCAAGTTGGTACTTGTGATCGCCACCGGTGGCGCTGACGAGGCAGGTGGCGGTGATGGGGGTAGGGGAGGTGTTCGGTTCAACTCCGACCTGTTTAAGACAGTCAAGAAAATTATTAGAAAGAGCTGAAAAAGCTAAAGTTATATAAAAAATAATTTACATGGTTGATAATTATACAATTTTCTTTGAAGATAAGAAACAGTGATATTACTACCTAGTAAGAATATTTTTTTAGAAACAAAACTCAAAATTACACGTACATCATTTGTACAGATTTAACACAAAAGATTATCTAAAAAAATGATATAAAAATTTAAACAACCTAATATGACAAGAAAATCTGACTAAGTAAGCAGTGCCACACGCATGACATCACAACGGTCGTGCTCCAATATGACAAACACATTATAAATTATAATAATATTCTTCATAATAGAAACAATTCTAAAAAGCCCAAGTTAAACCCAATAATAATTACGGTATGTGCTTATCTAAATACCTACTTGAATTTATATATTTTTTAAACCTCAGTTTTGTTTAAATTAATTTCATTACACTACGGAACTTATACACTAAGTATACGATAATATTTGTCTTTAGTCTAAGGTACCAAGAAATTAAAAAAAAAACGCTCAAGTGCGAGTCGAATTCGCACACGAAGGGTTCCGTACCATCGTATATGTACTTTTTATTAATATGACTTTTACTCTATGTATGTATTATATTAACATCAATGATCGATTACGAACGTTAAAAAAATGTTTTTTTTTTTTTTTTTTTTTTTTTATTTATTATTTATTGTTATAGCGGCAATAGAAATACATACTCTGTGAAAATTTCAACTCTCTACCTATTACGGTTCCTGAGATACAGCCCTCTGACAGACGGACGGCCGAGCGGACGGACGGTGGCTTGCAGTAGGGTTCCGTTGACACCCTTTTTATAGCAATTTTTCATACGTATTAAATTTCCCAAAACCCTCTGTATCGATAATAATGTCTATTTCAATAAGATTTTCTAAAAAAATATTTAATGTATAGATTGGACTCAGTTACAATTTTATTATATGTATAGACTAAGATTTAATTGTACTTCGAGCGCACAGTTTATTAATGCCGGGCCGGGGGAGCCGCGGGGAAAATGGTTAATATAAAGAGTGGCGAATTGCGCTAATTATGTTTACTGTGGCCCTCGCCCCGCACCCCTCCCTCCTCACTCGCTCTCACTGTTTGCGTTTGTGTAATATCGCATTAATCAGCTCAAATGTAGGTATGTTTGATTTTCATATTTTTCGAAAAATAACATCTCGTTTTATAAAAATGCTACAACAAAATAATGCTATACACATTACACGGTAATAAAATACGAATTCCCATAATTATTTATTACCGTAATGAAGACAAAAATAAAAACAAAGTATTGTTTCAGTCACACATTCATGTAATTTTTTGTGTTTTAAAAGTAAAAAAAAACCTAACCAGTAACCACATTCATATAAAAAAAAAGGTTTACCGATTTCATATTCCAAAAGCCTTACCTATTATAAAAAAATACTAAATCTATGTGATATTTATATATTTTTTTAAACTATCTTTTTATATTAATAAATAAAAAAAAAGATTGTTCGTATGTTTGTCCTCTATGCGTTCCTAAACCATTAGACCGATTGTGATGAAACTCTGGTGGGTTATTCTATATACGCTGCGAAGGATTTTTCTTTCAAAAAAAAAGTTTTTTTCTTTGGAATTTTGTGTTTTATGCATTTCTAAACCATTTAAGCTTCGGGACGTACCCGAACGAAGCGGGCGAGAGTCGCTAGTCAAAAAATTTATCTACATGTCAACTTAATAACAAAAATATCTATAGCCATTTTTCCTTAAATAAGAACGATAACACATCCGCATGGTCCCTATTTAAAATTCGGGCAATTATACGCGCTCGTAATTAACAGTTGTGCAAACAGCGGCTACCTGCATCGGATCACACCCGCTTTACACTGCGATTTGTCTTTATGGAAAGAAATAATATACACTAAAAACTTAAATTTAAAACGAAAGTTGTTTAATATTATATGTACATATATTTATATGTACATTTACTTATTTGATCTTACTTTTTGTCCATCCGTCCGTCCGTAACGTATGTACTTTGTACTTTGGAAGATAATATTTTTTAATAGAACAATTTTTTTAGAGCAAAAACATCATACTTAAAGTAAATATTTAAATAATTAATATATTATCACTAACTACTTATCCTTGCTTTGCTCGAATGCATTCCTAGGGACCTAAAAGTAGCCTATATATGAGTTTCTGCAGGTCACAGTACTTGTGCCGCACAGCCGCTTCAGCGCGAATGAGTAACAAACATACTCACGTACATACATAACAAATATACACACATGGAATCTTTTGTATTTATAATAGTATTTCTGGTTAGTGATTATGATAAGTATATTTGCTATTCTGTTTAAGATGTATGTAGATTGTAGATACTATAAGCGTTCTTTCACTTAATGATTATAATAAGTTCATGCTAGATTCCTCAAGAGATTGATGAAAGTGAGTTTAGCAATTCACTGTTCAAATCATTCTCTGCCAAAGTCACACTATCATCATCATAAATTTCATCTAAATCGGTTGTCTAGATCCAGAGATTACCCCTACAACGTCACAAGCTCACAAACTTTACCTCTTTATTATATTAGTATAGATAAATGTGAAAGTGTGTTTGTTTGTCGTTCTTTCACATCGAAATAGAGTGACGGATTGGCGTGACTTTGTGTGGAGAAAGTTGGTGGGATGGAAAGTGACATAGGCTACGTTTTATCGCGGGAGATTATCTCATTCCTACGGGATAATACGATATCATACAACCCACAACAACTAATTATACCTATGTATATATATAATATAATATATAGTTTATCTATTCCATACTAGCCGTCAAATCGTACCTAGGGGCTAGGAGGGTGAGTCGCTAGTATACTATAAACAAAGTTTATTCAAATATTATAATATTTATTAAATACATCATAATATGAACGACATCGCAAAAAAATCAACTTTTTCCATTGCCTTGTGTTTCGTTTTCTCGATTGGCGGGCGCTTTTAATTAAGGCAATTAGAAAGATGGGCGCTGTGTTTGCGTAAAAATCTAAACAACCACCGGGAGACGGGTAGGGACGGCTTCGTATCGATGTCGGTAAGTATCGACTTCGTACATACCTAATAAGTTGAACATCATTGCTTTTTATACAACTTTATACACATATAGGTTTTTGGTGATAATTATTATATAAACTTGCAGCTTAGTCCGTTCAAAATTAGTTAAGTAAATGGTAACGATTTTTTTTTCAACTTCTACTTTCGAATTATCGACCAAAGCCGCTTTGACAGTTTTTTTTTATCTATGCCGCAAAATAATATTTTAAATATTTTTGTACAAAAGAAGATAATCCAACTAATATTACGAATGCGAATGTGTATAAGTGTGTATGTTCGTCACGCTGAAACTTGTTTACTGATTTGATTTGTTTAGTGCACTGAAACACCATGACCTGGAGTGACACGTCATACGTAGGCTACTTATTACATTATTAACTGCCTCCGTGGTGTAGTGGCTAGCATGTACGGCTGCATACCCGGAGGTCCTGGGTTCGAGTCCCGGGTCGGGCCAAGTTTAGTTATTGAGTCTTTCTGTATAAGTAAGCCTCAGTAACAGCCCGGAGTTGGGAAGTTGGCGGTGTTTCACCCCCGTGCCTCGGAGAGCACGTAAAGCCGTCGGTCCTGCGCCTTAACTCTCACTGGTCGTGTCGAACAGTCGTCCCACCGGAATATGAGAGTGACAGGAATAGAGAGTGCACTTGTGTCTGCGCGTACACTTGTGCACTATAATATCTCCTGCGCAGTTGGCTATTCTCAATGAGATTGGCCGCCGTGGCCGGAATCGGTCGGGAGAACATCACTTATTACATAGCACCTAGGGACGTATCTAAGTGAAACAAGAAAAGATCGCTAGTATCTTTAAGAAACCCGAAAATCCGAAAAACATTGTAAAATAATGTTAGTAGCTTGCATTTTATAAAAATATAAATAAAAAAAAAAACAAATTATCAATCCACATCGATAAAATCGCGGTAACATCCCATATCCCGCGGGATCGTGTACAAATAACAGCGGGAGTGATTGTCAACACACGCACGAATATTCGCCATTATTATTCCTATCTCTATTGACAAGCGCCTCGGGCCTCCACTCCTTTGGGAGACACCAAATTGGCTATTTTATTTGATTTTATTGATGAAATACGCGATTGAGTTAAAATGTAAAGCATTTACGATTCAAAAAAACAACTCATTTTTATACGATTCAATTTTTATATTAAACTCAGAACATTTAATTTCAATATAAAAGAAAATATTTACTTTGTATGGTACGTTGGAAAATAATTAAAATTTTAACAATTTTTATTGAGAATTTCTTCAAAATATTGTGAAATATATAGTTTTTAGAATTTTTGTCTGTCTGTATGTCTGTTACCGCATCACGAGAAAACCACTGGACGGATTTTGATGAAATTTGGTATGATGATAACTGGTTATCCGGGTCAACATATAGCTTTTTACCGCGGGAAAATATCTTATTTCTGAGAAAAACTCAAAAACTGTAATGTAAGAGTATACTAATATGTAAAACCTAAGAATTTGGTTTTTGGTCATCTGAACGCGGGCGGAGCCGCGGGCAATGCTAGTATAATATATAATCTATCTATTACATACTAACCGTTAAAACGTACCTAAGGACGAACACGAGCGAAGCAAGGGTGAGCCGCTAGTTTAATAATATAATTTAACTAAAACAATCATAAAAGATGATCTTTGAAGAAGATAAACGATAACTTACCATTACAACGAAAGACTTCTCAAATTGAAATTAAAAAGTCTACATAGAGATACAAGCGTTTATCTGAGATCTTAAGTGATTGGACAAGAATATGAATTTTAAACGATTAACGTAAGAAATAAAGAAAAGTATACGAACTTCATAACGGAGAGTGGAGGGCAAACATGGAGAGTTCACAGAAACCCCTTTCAGTGTTGCCTTTTTAACATTTTATAAAGATTAGATTTTCATCGGACGATTGAGACCGCTGCTTCGACGTTGAAATTTAAATTGTTTCATTTTCGTACAGGTATGTATGTAGGTACCTATAATATGTAAGTTCAGCCACTTCCCTTTTTATGGAAATAATGCTATTGTTTTTTAAAATAATATAGCGTATAAGTACTTAATGTTCTTAGAAATACCTTGTGAATGTGATAGGTCACAGGTTCGAACTAAATTAAAGTTTCGTGTATATTTTCCATATCCGTATTTCATTATTTTCTTTTTTTTAAATATAGCTAAAAATGTCGTAAACAAAGCATAAAATGGCATAATTATATTTTATATATAATTTCTAAGTCGAATTAACACTCTTGTATAAGAATAAAAAACAAAAGTTTTTTTGTTGATATCAAATAATTAAGCGCATCACTATAGAACAGTTCGATCGATTTCGCTATCGATTTAAAACGAATAATCCGAATAAATTGTATAGGTTATTGTTAGAAAAAGTTGTAAATCTCTGGTAATAAATCGAAAGCCCTAAAACATTAATTGTATGAGCACAAAGACAAACAAAAAAGCTTTCGACAGAACAACGTCTGGCAAAACTTATAAAGCTTAAAAATAAGTCATTCTATAAAATAACTAGAACAATCCCACACAAAAGCTAATCGCAGATATCTCAATCGTCCCAATACAACGTCGACGGGACCCCACGCCGTCTCATCTCATCCTGAATAATACATAGCGGAGTGTTGACACGGCGTAATTAAAAAGCCCTGCACAGCTATTGATAGAGCGTGTTTGACCAAAATATACTATTGTTATTGGATTGATATTTTTGCTGATACTCTGATATGATATGCTCCTTTATTTATACTTTCTAATATGAATGGAGCTCTTTTTAGTTGAAATTTTGAGCCGTATAATAATAAATAAAATATAATAAATATGTTAGGACATACATATATAACACACAGCACCATCTAGTTCCATGGTAAGCTACGAGGCTTGTGTTATGGATACCAGATAGTTGATATACTACACATATGTAATAACTTTAAATACATACATATTATAAATATAAACACCCATGACTGAGTACAAACATTCGTGCTTATACACAAATGAATGCCCCCAGCGGGACTCGAACCCGCGACCGCTGGCACAGTAAGTAGGGTCACTACAAACTGAGCCAAACGTGTCGTCAAAAAATATCACACAATGGTCTATATTCATGTATAATGTTGAAATGTTTGTTTGTTTGAATACACTACTAGTCCTACTCCTACTTTAAAACCAAGCCCTAAAATCCTGTCTAAACCATTTTTGTGTAGCCTTTCCGACTAAAGTTTAAGTCTAAAAAGAATTTTTAACTTATAATAATCACAAAAGCTGGTAACAGGGGCGCCATCTATATCTAAAATTCGAATCATTCAATTAGCGATTCGCATTGTTTGAGATGGTTAAAATAAACCCTTTACTGGATATTCATTTAATTTCATTCAATTGCACGATAACAGATGGCGTTATCGTAGTGTAGATAAAATTTTTCAATAGATGGCGTTATTTAAAAAAAAATGAATTAAGGTATTTAAATATATTTATTTCGAACTTCAAGAGTTCTAGTTATGGGAAAGCACAGACTTTATGAATGTTATGTTGTCAATATAACACAATTTAAAAGTATTATATACTTTCAGTGTAAAAAAGGTTAACACTTGTAAATAAAATAGGCATATCATGCCCAAAAAGAATAGAATGTATATTAAATCGTGCATCTATGCACTAAATTATTACAAAATGAAATAATTAAAAAATACCAGAATCGTTTTTTTTTAAATTTGCATAGCAGCCTTTTTGAAATTCGCTATCTTGGATTTTTATTAATTTTTGTTATAGCGGCAATAGAAATACATACTCTGTGAAAATTTCAACTCTCTACCTATTACAGTTTATATAAAGCCTTCTGACAGACAGACGTGAAGGACAGCGGAGGCTTAGTAATAGGGTTCCGTTGGCACCCTCCGGGTGTCGAACCCTAAAAAGTATAATTGAGTCAAAAACAAGTTCCAGTCGACCTTAAATTAAATAAAAAATACTCTCCACTAAAACTTAGGCAATATTGAAACTACACGTTTTAACATTGATTAACATAAGAATAATAGTATAAAAATAATAATAGAATAAAAAGAAATAAAATTCACTTCGTTTATATCATTGAGCATCGAGTGAATCCGACTAATACCTAATTAACGTTAGGGGACATCCATTATTATGTGAGCCCAATAAAATCTCATCAAATTTCATTTTAACTGAGGGCTGAACCAAATCTCACTTAATCTCATGTAGGTGGTAGTCTAAAGTACTAGTGTCTGCACGCGATTCCGTTTGCGAGGCAACTAATAAGTATATCGATAGAGATACCCTATGTATTAAACCCGATAAGCGTGAAATAACAGCGTGAATAAACATCAAGCATACTACAAAATAATTTAAGACCAAGCACTACGCGACTAACACGCGAGTTGGTCCCTGCGACTCTAGCGCGGTTATATTTACGGTTATGGTCGCGGCTTTGGTCATGACCGTGGTCGCGTAGTGGTCGGTCGTGGTTATCGAGAGTCGAGACCAACCTGGCAGGATGCGCGGGGGCGGCGGGCGGCACGGGTATGCAGTTGACGGGCGTGGACTCTTGAGGCATCTCCTCTAGATTCGTCTCCTTATCTGTAGTTCGGGCTGAGCCTGTGAATTGGCGAATTGTTAATATATAGGTCACCAGAAGTACCCGCGGCTTCGCCCACATTCAAACTTCCGATATAAACATCAGTTTTATAATAATGTATGGAAATCTGCCCGATTTATTGACATTTATGATTACTGCTCCTGTCCCTTGGATAGTAGCGTGATGATATCTAGTCTATGGCCTTCCTCAATAAACGGGCTATCTAATGCAAAAAGATTTTTCAAATCGGATTAGTAGTTCCTGAGTTTAGCGAGTTTAAACAACAAACGAACTCTGTCTCTTTATATTATTAAGTAGGTACTGATTAGTGAAGAGTGACTTACTCCCACTTCACTCGAGTGCTTCCATAGATGCCTAGAAGCTATGTGTTACTCCAAGTTATAGTCTATCTGTATATGAAACTTTATCAAAATCCATCCAGACGTTTTAGCGTAAAGGAAGCATACACACATACATACAAACTTTCACTTTTATAATAATATTTCGACAAGATCGACACATTAGATTTAATTTAGCTTGAAGAATTGATCCAAATTATGATGAAATGCTATTGACTTTCTTAAATAAAAATTAAAAACTAATTTATGCAAAGAAAGGTATATTAATATGCAGGTTTCTTCATGATGATTTTCTTCACTTGTTGAGACCGGGGATTTGAACCCGCTTTACTCGGTTTCCCACACGAGCGCGATACCACTGGGCTACCACGGCCTACCTATTTGATACAAAGTACATACATACATATGTACATATATAAAACAGCAACAATACCTTGTGACCGCTGCAGGCGCGTGGTGACGCCGGCCGGCAGCTCGGGCTCCGGCGCGGGCCGCGGCCGCGCGTGCCGTCTCGGCCGCGGCTTCCGGAGGAGCTGCTTGTAGTTCTCCGCCTTCTTCGACAGGTAATAGAACCTGGATACAGGCAGATAGTTATAAACTGTTACTCGTAAAATATAAATGTGTCTTTTTTTGGTTTGTGCCTTTATTACATTGCAACAAATTCCTATAAACGTGAGTGTTTTTTTTTCAGTTTTCCGCTTTCTTCGACAGGTAATATACCCTGTGTTCTGGGTATATGTGGGATAGTTTTAAATTGTCACTCGTATAAATGTAAAGGTGTGTCTTTTCCATTATATATTACATTGGCGAAATAATCTGTGCACAACCGGCAGGCACTCTTTAAACCCATTAAAAAGAAAATTGCTGTAAAGTTTTTTTTTGGTTTATGCCTATATTACATTGCAGCGAATTAGTATAAGCCTGAACGTGTTTTTTTTTTAGTTCTCCGCCTCCTTCGGGGGGTCGCTTTGAAGTAATATATGTATTTGTCACTTATATAAACATGGATGAATATCACTCATATGGTTTTTTTTGGTTGATGCCTATTTTACGTTACACAGAATTCCTATAACCGTGTAGATATTTTGAGTCGTTCTCTGCCTTCTTCGACTAGCAGTAAAATTTAGACACAAATTTTAAACAGTCAGTCATTTAAACAAGAAAGTGTTTTTATTTTAGAAAAGTATCTTTTCGAATTTTGTCGCGGTTTTATTATTTATTTTGGTTCCCGACGTTTCGAATGCTTTACAACAAACATAATTATGGTTATAGCGTCTATTCACAAAACGATCCAATAATTTGCAAGAAAGAAACAAATGGCAAAGGGCAAATAAAAAAAGTTCAAATTTATAACTATAGTAATAGCAACACTAAATAAGATTAAATATTAATATTATATTTAAATGGAAGAATTATAACAACAACCAAAACTTTAATATTCGATTATATTATATTTTTTTTTAAATCATTAAAATACTTAAAATTAACAAATATTGTAACGTAATTTGATGCCACACATATTGCTATTTGATATTCTTTATTTATATATAATTACACACACATACATACACACACACATACATACATTACATAAAAAAAATATATTTTTTACAAACAATTATTTAGAGGTTACACCACTTTTGCTCTAACAAACCCCATGTATGTATGCACAGTTCATTACTCAGAATCTGACAAATAAAATACAACTTAACAAAGCTTTGTTAAAAATCATTTGTAGTCAGAATTCGTTACCTTTTATGGGAAAGAATATAACAAATTAGTTCTGCCATTTACAGCGGTTTAATTGATATAAAGTTTTTATATTTAATGAACAAAACTTGTATGCACACATTAATCATTATGAAATATGATGGCTTTAATGTAATGCTCATGAATATATTTAAATATTTATTCGTTTTTAGGGTTCCGTACCCGAAGGGTGCGAACGGAACCCTATTACTATGTCTCCGCTGTCCGTCTGTCTATCAGAGGGCTATATCTCATGGTGTTACACCACTATAACAACAAATAATAATAATAAATAAAAATAAAAATACAAGAAACAATTTTTTAACGTTCGTAATCGACCATCGATGTTAATATACTACATACATAGAGTAAAAGTCATATTAATAAAAAGTACATGTACGATAGTACAGAACCCTTCGTTTAAGAATTCGACTCGCACTTGACCGATATTTATTCTAATTAAGACATTTTTTGTTACAGTGCATGTATATTATTATAAAATTGTTTATGTAAAGTGTAGTAAATAAAAACTCATTAGAATATACATTACTTGATTAAGAATAATAAATAAGAAAAACGTGAACAGTTAAAGCATAAGGTTTTTAAAAATTTAAACAATACCACCATGCATTTTTAGTTAAAGAAATTGATGATGAACATTTACTTTTGGTTATTGTTGTTCTTTATAAGCGACTACAATAAAAAACTTAATTTTAATGACTTAAGTGAAATATAATTTAATATCATGTTAAGAAATTAAAAAAAAACATGTTTTAATAGGGGCAAGTGCAAGTTTGTTCCGCGTGCGATAATAGGAGCACCAAACCTTTCCAGAAATACCCTACACAATTGTGGATTTAAAAAAAAACATTTCAACCCTTCGTTATACGTATAGAATGCCACCCCTATCTTTTAATTTTTCGATATTTAACTATAAAATTGTATAGCGGTTTACGTCAAACATATTACATACCAAATTTCATTAATATAACCCAAAATAAAACAGACAGACGTCAGACAGACAAAATGCTTAATTATATCCCATATTTTCTTTTTCACTTTTCACTAGGGAACCCTAAGAAGGTCTAAAAAAGAAAAGACCATACCTAACACAGTCCCGAACACTCTTTCTCGGCAGGAAAGAAGCTATGGTGCCGAAGTTCTTGGGATGCTGCAGGTATTTATCCCTGAAGACTTCCCTTTCACCCGAAGACCACACATTACGCAGTTGAAGGCCCTTGTGCTCGAACTCCATATCCATACACCGCTCTGGGAAAAATAATGTTTGTCAGTTGGTTAAAAATCCAAGTTTGGTACTTAGCAAAGCACACGAATATTTTGATGAGTGACTACTCAAATCGCTCGCTTGTGTACCGAGTGAAGCGGGTCCAAATCCCGGGTCTCGCACCTCTGATATTTTCATGTACGAATCATTTCTAACATGTTTACCACTTGTGTTACGGTGAAGAAAAACATCGTGAGGAAACCGCGATGTCTAATAGAACATAGCAAGTTTTCGAAAGATATGTGTAGTCCGTCAAGCCACACTTGGCCGCACTTGGCCTGATTCCTGGCGTATTGGGAGGCCAGTGCCCAGCAGTGGGACCTTAAGAAGGGGTGAATACAACTATTCAAAGGATTTGAGTTAAATTTGGAAATGTGGTAGTTTACATCTTTTTTTAAACGTTGGAAAATCTAATTACGCCTACGACCTGTACAACAGGTGGAACCGTGTCTCATCGACTAGAAAAGTCAATGCTATCCAAATTCATTGGAAACTTCTTGGTCTCAACGGGGCATCGCAGGAGCACTTAAAATATCTTAAGTTTTAAGTTTATATTTTAAAATATGACAAAGAAGTTGATAATTATGACATTTAAGATATAGTAAAGATTTTAAAGCTATTTCTTTATATAATATACTCCAATCTTTATATTTTAAAAATGCTATAGAACTTTGTAAATTTGTACAATCAGATCACACTATTGCAAAAATACCTGCACGATTTTCAATATTTAAGGTTTCAACAGCACATTAAACTGAAGATATAATGAATAATCATTTTCTCTCAAAATCATCTTCCAAATGTCCTATATAACCTATTACTCACTGTTAGTATCTAAATGCAGTGGCCTAGGTTCCCTAGGGTCCCGGAGCAGGGGAGGCACCACTGTCAGAGACCTCATCTTCTTATCCTCGTGCTCCTGCTCGTGTAGACCGTCAGCTATCTCCTCCAGCTCCGCCTCAGACTTCACCCTGGCTCCGAGCCGGTTGAATCTCTCCCGCTCTTCACGCTGCTTTCTCAGTTCTGGGAACACCTGTGTAGAGAATGTATGTTTTAGATGACAGCAAAAATGCTATTTTTAAAACTAATGCTTACTTTATTTATAAGTATCTAGCGACTTACGCTTGCGCTTACGTTGTAATTTTTTGAGCGGGACAATAATACTTATTATTAAATAAAAGTAGCCTAATTTACTCCTTATAACATCAGCTATCTGCCAGTGGTAATTTTGTCAAAATCAGTCCAGCTGTTTCGCAGATTAGCCAGAACAAACAGACAGATAGACAAAAAAATTTAAAGTCGTGTTTTTCTTTTATTAGTACCGTATATAATTTCATATGCATTTAGTAAAAGTTGCTTTTTTGACATTACAAGCAGACACTTCAATTTTATTTATCTGTATACATTAATAAAGTAAGACAAAAATTAACGCAGTGTGATGATTTTAATCTACTTAAAATTGTGTTTATACTCGGAAATCTGTACAATGTTTTGGCACTGACGATGTACTAAGTTGACAGAGTTACAACATTCAAAGTGGACAATGCAATTCAAAATAGATACTTATTATATATTTTTAAAGACAACCATTTATTTTTAAGATAGCTGATGTTATAAGTTCATTTTAAAAAGAGAACCAGGGTTTCGCGCAGAAAACTTAAAACCCATGACATTGTGAACAAAATCCGCATACCTAAGTGACGTAAGTTGCTAGTAAGAAATAAAAGCTTTGCTTTTAAAATAGAGTACAAAAACTCTAAAAAATACAACAAGTATTGGAAGTTTAAACAAATAAGCACTGAAGCGATTAGTAAAAAGTCTATAGGTATACGTTTAAACTAGCGAAAAACAGAAACAAATCTATCCCACGGGTACTGTACATTTTTCCGGGATAAAAAAGTAACCTATGTGCTATTCTAGACTATAATCTATAATTCCATCTGTGCCCAATTTCATTCAGGCGTTCTGGCGTTCTGGCGTGATTGAGTAACAAACATCCAAACATGTATCTAAACTTTCACATTTATAATATTATACTGATACTAATATAGAATAAAAAGACCTGACCCTACATAGTAATAGTATACGATATGAGAAAATGTTACAAACAATGTAAGTTAGCAGTAAACCTTACCGTGAGTTTGCGGTTAGCCGTTAAAGCTGACCACAAATATGCCTAAATATTATATACAATGTGTGCAACTATACTAAACGACTAAAATACGTTTTCTTCCAAGAATTAGTATTAAATATAAGCTACGGATAGAATATTAACTATTCGCAATGTATAACGCTGTTTTTTAATGTATTAATTAATAAGTAATGGTTTTTTTTTAATTATCACTCTAAATTACATACGGTTTAGAATCCCAAATATTTCCCGTTTAGAATCCCACAAAATCCCATTAATATTATAAATGCGATATATTGGATGGATGTTTGTTACTCAATCACGCTAGAACGGCTGAACGGATCTGTAATGTAATTTGGCACAGAGATAGATTATAGTCTGAAATAGCACATAATAATTTTGAATGTCACAATATATACATATATGTATCATGTCGTTGCTAATGATTATTTGTTCAAACGGACTTATTGTACTTTATACCATTACTAGAATCATCTACAATATCGAACCCGCATACCTTCTCAAAGAACTCCCTGTTCCTGGCGTCCTTAGCCTTCCGCTTCTGCCCCTGCTCTATCCGCTCCACGCGGCGCATCCACTCCGCCGCGCGCCGGCTGTACTCCTCCGTCAGTGCGTCTTCACGCTGGAAACGAGTAATCACGTGTTATAATATTACTTGGATATTTAGTTAAAAACTTAAATAATCATAAAAATGCGACATAAGAAAAAAAAGAAGTTATAATATTTTTCTATTTGTGAAAAAAATTACATTAGTAAAACAAACACATAATTAAAGTAATTTCTATAAAACGTCTATTAATATAAAACTCAAGCTTCTTTGTTTTACAATTTTTTTCTTTTACAATATTAATTTCAACGCTTTTAATTTCACGATATAAATGTCAACCGTACAACAACTTAGGATAAAGCGATTGTTAGTCATATTTTTGGCCGAACGACAGCTATGACGACACAGCACAATGACAACACAACATCGCATGACATTGACACAGATGAAACAAGACGTGACGTGACATTACCTTCTCAGCCTCTAGCCGGATGCGGCGCAGATGGTCCGCGAGGCGCTTCCGGAAGGCGCGGTGACTCCGGATGTTCTCGTGGTAGACCAGTGTGTCCTGCGGCTGGTTGTAGAGCGGGTACAGCACTGTGGGCCCGAGGTGTGCGAGGAGGGCGTGGGCCGCTGCCGCCTGAGGACAAACGTATAATAATTAAAAATACACATTGTTAACATAAATATAAAATAATACTAATAATTTAATAAAGAGAACTAATAGATTTCGGTCATGTGCATAAGAGATAATATTAGTGCATAAGTATGTGCCTCACTCTCATACACCAATGGGACGATAACTCGACACTCGTGCAGAATCCTGCACGAGTCAATCGACGCGACAAGAGCTCTGCCTCGACAAGACGCTAACATCTCAAATACGGGAATTTACTGATTATTTCATTACCTGGTAAGCTACAACAACCTGTTCGTAGCGCTGAATAGGAAAACCTTACGCTTATTAGTAAGGGTTCGATCATATTCAACCCAGGGTTGAATAACACACAAACCTACAGAAGACGTACGGAGACAGATGAAACGCCTCTCCAGCTTCTGGGGGAGTGTGGACCTTCTTATTTGCACAAGAGAAGTTTTCATCTTGAGAAACAGTTTCTAGGCCCAGATGAAATTATTTCATAGCCTACCTTTCAGTTTATTACAAGTGGCAGGATTTAGTGGGTTACGAGGATACTTTATAGCCGCCATAAAGAAATAAAAAAAACTAGTAAACAAACCGACCTGGGATTCGAACCTGGATCTGTAAACGTATACCAAAGTGACACTCTAATATATCGCTAGACTAAAACATACCCGTTTTCTATTATCAGCATATATACACTGCGCCAGGCTTCGATGCCGTGGAGGCGCCTCCTCAGGTTCTTCAGCTCTTGCTGGCTTCGACGCTGTCTGCTCCAGCTCCTCTTGTTTTTTCTTGAGTTTGTGGAGCGTAGTCTCCGACAGCGCCATCTCTCTATCCACCTGGAAATTAGAATGAAAAGTTTTAATTTACATGGACTATGGCCTGATCCTCCTCGCATTGAAGGAAGACCCGTACCCAGCAGCGGGACGTTAAAAAGGGCCGAATACAACACTAATGCCCGATTTCACCAACGTCACCTAAGTTTAAGGGATGCCCTAAGCATGGTTAGGGTGCTGTTAGGGGACAGTTTCACCGACAGTTAGGGGTCACCTAAATATTAAAAGACCCCCTAAATTTAGGTGCTCGAAATATGAGCTTAAAGACGATTGTAAATCGAAATTTAATTTAGAGGCTAGTTTAGGGGACTTTTAAGCTAGGGATCCCATACGTAGGTGGTAGCTTATGGGTTATTGGTGAAATCGGGCATAAAACTCGTAGCTACTAAACAAAATAAGAGTTGACAAACAGATAAGAAAAATGCACTAACTATTTTGTCTTTGCCTATTTATATATAGATGAAGAGAACTTAAAGAGTTATTATATTTTTATTAATTTGACTTGAATAGAAGGTAAAATATTAATAATTTAAAATTCGATTTAGAAGTTCTTACTAATGGACGAATATTTTTAGCTGTTAAGAAAGTCTAGTTATACATCTGTTTGTTAGCAAAATCTATGCCATATTTTTATTAAATGTTAATGATGTACCTGTAGTTATGTGAATGTACTTTAAAATAAAACTTTACAGATATGTAGATTCCACCAGAGACTTGAATCATTGATTTGATAAGTACAGTAATATTTAAAATTATATTTGTAGGAAAAAGTATTTATTTACCTTAGATATTTGCTGTAGAAGATCATCTTTTGTGGTGCGGAAGCTCTGTTCATCGATTGTGGGCTCGGAAGGCGTGTGTGGAGACAGTACCTCCACGGTATGTGAATTCATAACCGGCTCCTATAAATTTAATAAGCAATATTTGTATTCTCATCTAGACATATGAATAAAATTGAAGTGTTGGTTTGTAATGTCAAAACAAACAGCTTTTTACATATTAAATTATATACGGTACTTGTAAGAAAAACACAACTTAAAATAAATCTGTCTGTTTATACCGGCTAATCTCCGAAACGGCTGGACTGATTTTGACGGGATCTTCACTGGTAGGTAGCTTATGTTATGAGGAATAACTTAGGCTACTTCTATTTTAGAAAAAGAACTAGGGTTCCGCCCTAGGGACGTCCAGAATCGCTAGTAACAAATATTCTAATATGAAGACTCAGACTAAAATATAATATAGAGAGATCGTCATAAAGCTAAACATGAAGCCAAAGAATGATATTTTCAAACAGTATAATATGTAGTACAAATATTAATAGAAAACTCATTATTGTGATAAATGATAACTAAAAAAAATGTTAATAAATAAAAATAGCCAACGAATTTTATTATAACGAAAAAAAGAAATTAGGCTATCTCCCTTTCAAGGACAAGAGAACTAATGAGAACTTTAAATAAAATGAACGATCTGTACGGCAAAATCGGAAATAGTATACCATAAACAGCAAAATCTCGCTGCTATTTTTTGACATTTTTTCTATGGCTCCAACTATTAATATGTACATAATTATTATAATTCTTTAGTTTGAGAATATGAGTTAAGTATATTATAAAATTTGTATAAATATTAGAGGAAGTTGCAACAATAAGCAAGTTTGATGTTTTAAGTATCATCATCACTGTGTTTATGGTATACAAGGATCTACTTATTTTTTTAAAGATTTTCCTAAGAACACACGTAAAGGACCTAAATTAATCTTCGAGCTAAGATAACTGTCAGTACTTAACACCACATTCATTCATCGCAATTAAAACTAACATAGAACCATTCACCACGAACTCACCCTCGTATCAACTCTGAGCTGCTGATGAGGAGCAGGCGCCGGACGTTCAGCTGTGAGGCGGATCTTCTTGAAGGGCGGGGGGTCTGCGGGGGGCGGGTGGTGCACGGGGGGCGCGGGGGGCGGCAAGTAGGACCCCAGCAGCGACATTCGCGTGCCGGAGCGATACTCGCCCACCGCGCCGCCACCGCCACCGCGCGAGTAACTGTCTCTACTGGAAAATAGAAACATAATAATATTATATACACTAATATTAAAAATAGATAAAGTTTGTAAGTTTGAATCTAAAGGATAAAGTCTGAAATGGCTGATCTGTTTCTAAATATCCTTTCACTAATAATAAGAAGATATAAATTATTATTGTTTATTGTCAGATTCATAATAATTTAATTTTAAGTCGAAAAAAACTAGAGGTTGAGTATCGTTAAAAACACGAATATTTATAATGTATTTATTATATATTTTATATTGTATTAATTTTTTAAAGTTTCTGACTTAATTTCCCCACGTTATGATCCGCTGTTATGTGCCTATCACATCTACACGAACAACTGCATATCATGGACCATATATAAAATACGTGGACCGCGATAAATATGTATTTTACATTTGTATAAATGTTAGATAATAGAGATAGTTTACTATATTTAATAAACATTTAATTACTTCCAATATCTATAATAACTCTTTTAACTTTCCTTTGTCTAATTACGTTATAATTAATTATCTACTTTACCTGAGAATAAAACTGAAACCCACGGGATATGGACATTGGACAATACAGTAGTAATTCCTTACAACTTATTCAATTCAAATTCAATTCACATTTCACACACATTAAATTATTACAATAATTTGTTTACTGAACGTCATGAGTCTACTACCAGTTCGGAAAGAAGAAGCCTCAAACCTGAGAAGAACTGGCGAAAAAAACTTAGAACTTAAAAACTATAACTCGATTTAATACACAATCGAAAACAAAATCAACAAAAGTTACATCATCTATACTAATATTATAAAGAGGTAAAGTTTGTGATTTTGTGAGATTGTGACGTTGTAGGGGGTAATCTCTGGTTCTACTGAACCGATTTAGTTGAAATTTGGTAAGAAAATAGTTTGAGACCCTAGGAAGGACATAGGATACTTTTTATCCCGGAAATTATCCCTTAAAGGGATGAAAATGGGGATGTAAGTTTGTATTGCAAAGCAAGCTAGTATACAATAAACATACTTTATTGATGTTTTATATAAAGATATAACTGTACAAATTCATATTAACTTTGCTATAAAAAAAATCTTTATACTCTATCCCTTACAACTCGATACAAGCAGAGGCTCGTCTAACAAACAATAAGTAAGGTATTTTAATGACCATTTTAATTACGGCTCATGTCAAAGCGATACGATCTTATGGGCATGTATCGGACCGACTCATCTGACACATGATACAAAAACCGTTGTAAATCGCTTTGGTAACTGTATAATTACTTTCTGAAAATAATACTTTTCTGGAGAACTATCTAGTATTTCTATGGCAAATTCCATTTAATATTATGAATGCAAAAGTTCGGATGGATGTTTGTTACTCAATCACGCCAGAACGGCTGAATGGATCTGGATGAAATTTGACACAGAGATAGATTATAGTCTGAAATAGCATATAGGTTACTTTTTATCCCATAAAAATGCACTGTTCCCGTGGGATAGATTTTTTTTTGTTTTTTACTAGGTAACAAATAAACTAGCTATGAATTTGATTTGTCAATGAATATATAATTTAATTAAACTAAAATGTAAGCTAAGCCTCGCGGTGTTTATGCCTTATTCATTAGAAAAAAACTATTCATAAAATTGAAAAACAAAAAAACTAATTATTAAGACAGTAAACATTTTAATAACTATGTACATAATGACCAAGCTAAAGAATATATTGTGTATGGTATTTGAATAATGATATAGTTTCACTTTATTTCTTATCTTTGAAAAATACACAACAACAATAATAATCAAAAACAAATTAAATCCAAAAGTCTGTCCAGTGACAAGCCATTACGCTTCACCTCTCAAACCGACCGATGACCCGCCGACGTCAACACTATATATTAACTAGATTCTAAATTATTCTTTTATGTACTAGCTTAAATTGTATTCAGCCCTTTTTAAAGTCCCACTACTGGACACGGGCTTCACTTCATTACGAGGGGGATCAGACCATAGTCCACCACGCTGGGCAAGTGCGGGTTGGCGGACTTCACATGTCTTTTAAATACTTGCTAGGTTCTCTCAGACGTGAAGGTTTCCTCACGATGTTTTCCTTCACCGTAAAGCAAGTGATAATCATGTTGGAAATGATTCGCTCATGAAAATATCAGAGGTGCGAGACCCGGGATTTGCTCGCTTGACTCGCTTCACTCGGTCTCCCAAGCGAGCGCATTACCACTGGGCTACCACTGCCACACTAGCTTAAATTAAATAAATGATTTTGAAACAATTAATTATTATGTAATCCCATAAATATTATAAATGCGAAAGTTTGGATGATGGATGGATGTTTGATTAGGTTATTTTTTATCCCGGGAAACTGTACGGTTCGTGTGGGATAGAATTATTTTTGTTATTCACTAGAGACAAACCCGAGCGAAGCGAACTCACTCTGAGTTGCTAATAGAACATAGACCAACTATGTACTAAAACAAAAATTCTCAGGTCATTATACACACTTATGAGACACCCATATGTACTTTAATACCTCCAGGTAAATTTCTAAGAAATTAATGAAATTTCTAATGGCCGATTTCACCAACGTCACCTAAGTTTAAGAGATCCCCTAAGTATAGTTAGGGGGCTGTTAGGGGACAGTTTCTGTTTCACCGGTTCAGTTTCTGTTAGGGGTCACCAAAATGTTAAAATGCCATCTAAATATAGGTATGTACTAGAAATACGGGTTCTGACGATGGTAAACGAAATTTAATTCAGGGGCTAGTTTAGGGGAACTTTTAAGCTAGGGATCCCATACGTAGGTGGTAGCTTATGGGATGTTAGTGAAATCGGGCATTAGAGAGAGAAAAGTCAAATATGTCATTTTTTAAGTAACCGAATCGAACCCAGTACCTCAGAATATGCAGCCGTATCTATAAACGCCACACTGACGAAACACCATAATAAAAGCACTATAATTAATGTATTGAATTGAATCAGGGAGTGTGTTTGCTTCATACCTTTTTTTTACGTTGGGAAATGCATTTACGCACGAGGTGTGGAACTCACCGGCCAAGCCAGTACTACCCACTAAAACCGAACAAAGCCTTCCCCCGTTTTATTGGGCGTCGCAGGACCGCTTAAGCATTCAACTACGACGCTCCGACGGCAGGTCTGCCGAAGCAGACCACAACAACCATGGGGTTGCTCCAAGGTCTACTCTGCTATATATAACGACTGAACAGATTTGGGTTAAATTTCGAATAGAGATAGCGTCTATCTTGAATAACTAGTGAGATATAGTGCAACTAAAAATTTAGTAGATATATCCATTTCAAATGCATTATCGTATTTAGGTCATCTTATCGTTGCAGTGGAGTGGGATTGCACACGATAATGACTGTCGATGGTCTGCTTGACGCTTGTTGACATTCACCTTATTTCATATTTTATTTATATCATCATTTTATGAGTGTTCTTGTTCTTTTATAGTTCATTTATTACTTTTATTTTTAATGTATAACAAACAGCTTTAAAATCTCTTCAATTATTAAAGAAAATTTTACTACTTTTGGTCCCAAGACATATCTGAAATTAATTGAAAATTTTGTACAAATCGTCATGTGTTTTGGAGAAATATAGTTGTGAAAGAATAAAAATGAAGCATTTTCAAGTAGTCAATATTAGTATAGAACAATAATTATAGGCATAGATTGTGTCATTGCTTTCCATTTATAATTGCTATCAATATTGGCAGACGACCGTTATATTTCTGATTGATGATGCCTTATAATTACGATGGATGAAGCGGGTTCTAGTTCCACATCAACTCATTAAGACAACGCAGTGTTGTTTTCTGTGCCTCTTCTATTACAAGGTTAAATAGCGCTAAAAGTACGTAAAATAATTTAATTTTTCATATAGTCTTCTATACATACAATAAAATTCTAACTGAGCCGAATCTGTACATAAAATATTTTTGAAAAAATCTTATTGAAATAGACATAATATCGATACAGAGGCCGAATCAATAGTTTTTAGAATTTTTGTCTGTCTGTATGTCTGTTTGTTTGTCTGTTACCGCATCACGGAAAAACCACTGGACGGATTTTGATGTTATTTGGCATGATGATAGCCGGTTATCCAAGTCAACATATAGGATACTTTTTAATGCGAGAAAATATCTCATCTCTGAGAAATCTATACTAAACATTAAAACGTAAGTAGGGACGAAATCGAGCGGAGCGAGGGTGAGTCGCTAGTAATGTATAAAATATTAAATTCTTATACACTTACATCATAAACATCAAAATATTTATAAGAAGATACTTTAATTCAAAATCCCCAACATAATACAGGAACACCCCAACGAAACCAGTAAACTAAACATAGCAAAAAATACCTCTACGAAGTTGAGGAATCTAAAAACCACAAACAATTTGAGAAATACATATCTAAATTAGGAGCATCACACGTGATTTCACATTTCATCTCGAGACTACGCGTTAACGTAGCGGGGGGTAGAGGGGGGGTGTAGAGGGCGGGAGGGCTGGTGGTGAGGAGTGGGGTGAGGAAGGCCAAGGTTGCGAGGGGGGGGGGGGTTATAACTGTAGCGGCGCGCGGTTTATTTTTTATTGTTATTCCGAGCTCGTCCCGAGCACGTGTTCGAAAATGTGGAACACAGGACTCGCCGCAGACGGCAGATCATCAATTTGAGGCGTAAACAATGATTTACTTTGAAATTCAGTATATATAACACAATGTTCTTTTACAAAATTATTGAAAAACTTTTTTGTATGTTAAATATCGATTATTTTTTATTCTTAATTACAGAAAGCATATAAAATATAACAGTTGAATGTATCAATTTAATAAGAAAACTGTAATTATGTAATTAAATAAAATATTGTAGTAATTTGGACGATGGAAAGCCACAAACATAAGGAAGGTAACAAAATGAAATAAGCATATATATATATATATATATATATATATATATATATATATATATATATA